TCTAGAAGAAAATGTAGGCGACAAAATGTTGGACATCATACGCAGCAGAATTTTTTTTTTTTATCCTCTCCAGAGGACACTTTTTCCATTTTTTGTTCAGGTAGAGTGGGAGGGAGAGAGAGGAACAGAGAGAGAGAGAGAGAAACATCGATGTGAAAGGAACACATGAAGTGGCTGCCACCCGCACAACCGACCAGGGCCGGGGACAAACTGCAACCGAGGTACGCGCCCTTAGCGGAACCGAACCCGGGTCTCTCAGGACCGCAAGCCGACGCTCTAACCGCTGAGCCAAACCGGCCAGGGCACGCAGCAGAATTTTTAATGATACATCACCTAAAGCAAGAGAAACAAAGGAGAAAATGAACACGTGGGACTACATCAAACTAAAAAGTTTCTGCACAGTAAAAGAAACAATCATCAAAATGGAATGGCAACCCACTGTATGGGAGAACATCATTGCCAATGATACAGCAGATAAGGGGTTAATTTAAAAAATGCATAGAGTACTCATACAACTCAACAAAAGGAAGACAAAGAACCCAATTAAAAAATGGGAAGAGGAGCTGAACAGACATCTCTCCAAGGAAATACAGATGGCCAAGAGACATATGAAGAAATGCTCAACATCACTAGTCATCAGAGAGATGCAAATTAAAACAACAATGAGGTATCACCTCACACCTGTCAGAATGGCCACCATCAACAAATCATCAAAAACGTGTTGGTGAGGGTGTGGAGAAAAGGGGACTCTAGTACACTGCTGGTGGAAATGCAGACTGGTGCAGCCACTATGGAAAACAATATGGTGTTACCTCAAAAAATTAAAAATTGAACTTCCATTTCACCCAGTGATCCCACGTCTAGAAATATACCCTAAAAAGCCTGAAACACCAATCAGAAAGAATATATGTACCCCCATGTTCATAGCAGCACTATTTACAATAGGTAAGATCTGAAAACAGTCCAAGAGTCCATCAGTAGACGAATAGATAAAAAAGCTGTGGTTCATATACACAATGGAGTACTATGCAGCTGTAAGAAAGAAAGATCTCTTATCCTTTGACATGAAATGGAGGGACCTGGAAAATATTATCTTAAGTGAAACAAGCCAAACAGAAAAAGACAAATACCACGTGATCTCACTTATTTATGGAATATAATGAACATACCAGTCTGAGGAATTGGGTAGACCCACAGACGTAGAAGTGGGGACAGACTGACAACCTTCAGAAGAGGGGATGGAGGGGGGAGGGAAGAGATAAACCACAGAACTTATATGCATGTATGTATGACCAATGGATATGGACCACAGAGCCGGGAACAGGGTAGGGAGTATGAGGAGGAGGGTGGCAATGGAGTAAAAAAAGGAGAAACAACTGTAACAAAAATAAAATTAAAAATACAATTTAAAAAAAGAGAGAAAGAGAGAGGAGGTCTTCACTGACTGAATGAACACAAACCAAGAATTAAATCAGGGCACTCTTTTCACTGATTGGGCAATGATTTCAAGGAACCTTCTGGTACAAGACAAACCAACAAAAAAGCACAGCTCCCTATTAAGACAACACAGAGACCAGAAACGAACACTGGCAGATCAGAACTTAGAGCGGCATCAGACAGAAGGTCCAGCTTACAGTAACGTGTTCTTTAATAAGCCGTAGTAGAAGCACAGATTAGGAAGAGCATCATTTCTGGAATACAATCGGTTGGATAAAACTTGAAGAAAAATGACCAATGTAGACCCAGTAAAATGTTCCATCCAGCAATTTATGTGTGATCATCGTAAAATTGTGTACACGCACCAGATTGTCCTTCTGGGAGGTCCGGTTCGTCTTAGCTTGGGTCTTGGGGTCCCTGTGGCATCTCTGAAGGAAACATGGGTGGTGAATATGAGATACCCCAGGCTGGAAAGCAGTAGGCAGTGAAGGGTGCTCTCAGTAAAAACAGTGTTTCTCTGACAAGCTTGAGGTTGACTGGGGGAGCCACATCCCCCAGCTCCATCAACCCCACTACTTTGGAAGCACGCTACTTTGCAAAGACCCTGTCACAGGACCCTGCCTCTGGGATTGGGTCCGACCTGATCCCGTCTGGCTCCTCCCCACATGTCCACAGGCTCACTCCCTCACCTCCAGGTCTTTGCTCAAATCCTACCTGCTCACGGTGGCTGATGATCCCAATAAATCCAGCACCGAACCCTTACATCACACCCTGGGCCATCCCAACCACCTTACTCTCTCTCTTTTTCTTGGCACCGGTCACCCTCTAACACACCACATGACTAACTTAGTGATCCTGTCATTCCTCCTCTATCAAGAGAAATTTCAATCAACCCCATAAAAATCCAGCAGCAACATCCTTGTTCCCATGAGGGTACAGTCTCCATCACCACGTGTTGTCGCTGACCTTCATTCCCACGTGAAGCCCACCCCTTGTGTCCCCATCTCCCGTGTCCCCAGCCCCCAGCCCCACTCACGATACATCTGGGCTCTGAGTCCCTCACACAGTGGAGACAGATTCATGTCCTCAAAGATGCGGAGGGTCCCTTCCCATACCTGCCTTTCCGGGAAGTGCCCCTTCATCAGACACAGCAGATCCCTGGGATCTGCTGCCTTCACGTTGGCCCAGGGGATCTTCTAATGAGAAACCACACTGCAGCCCTGGCCAGATTGGCTCAGCGGTTAGAGCATCGGCCTGCGGTAAAGAGAAACCACACTGCAGTATCCCGGTGTCCCTGGAGTCCTCCATCCCTACAAGAAGCCCTTGCTGTGAGCATCTCTCCGGGCACCTGGGAGACCTCGTGCCAGGTGAGAGGAAGGAGGCCAGGAGGCTCCAGGTCAGAGGTCAATGCCATCGCATGGGAACTGCGAATGACAAATAACATGGCCAGGCGGTGTGGTTCAGTGGTTGAGCGTGGTCCATACACCAGGAGGACCCTGGTTTAGTTCCCACCGGGGCACATGCCCAGGTTTCGGGACTCGATCTTAGGTGGGGGGAGTGCAGGAGACAGAGGGTCCACATTTCTCATATGTATTTTTCAGTCTCTCGCTCTTAAAAAATCAAATAATAAAACATAAATGTTTACCCAGCCCTGGCCGGGACCTTCACTGGGGTTACAGCAGGAATATGGCCACGATGCCCAGGGGAGGGTGCTGGAGACAGTTAATTTTTAGGTATTTATTTTCATTGTTGACAGTATTACAGATGTTCCCCAGTGACCGTTGGCAAGAACACCTGGCAGGTCGGTGTGCCCTGGTGGAAGGAGGGATGTGGGACACCCGATGGTGGTTGGGAAGAAGGACCTCGAGCAGGCCAAGCTGGACCACAGGGCCCTGGCCCCTCCCCTGGGGGTGACTGTTCTCCGCAGGGTAACAGGGGCTGAGGACTGTATGCCTTTGCCCTCCTGACCTTCCGAAATTGTTTTGCTGCTGGTAGGACGTCCTCTGCTTCCCACAGTAACGCCCAAATGTCCAGACTCTGGACCGGCTTTGTTTTTTTAAACTAATTTTTTTATTTTTGAATTTTATTTTTCTAACCTCACATGAGGACATTTTTTCATTTTTTGTTCAGATAAAGTGTGAGGGAGAGAGAGAGAGAGAAACATCGAGGCAAAAGAAACACATCGAGTAGTCGCCACCCACATGCCCACCAGGGCCCGGGACAAACTGCAACAAAGTTATGTGCCCTTTGCAGAACCCAAACCTGGTCTCTCTGGACCGCAGGCCCACGCTGTAACCATTGAGCCAAACCAGCCAGGGCTGGACCGGGTTTGTGAGATGCGCCTGGTAGCTCAGGCTGGGAGGAGAAGAAACACCTCAACCACCTGGCACTTTTCCTGTTCCCATTCTGTCCCTCCTTTCAAAATGTTTTATTGCTTTTTTTTAGAGAGGAAAGTGGAGATAGAAACATTGTTGTGAGAAAGAAACATCCATCTGGCTCCCCAGGACACCCCCTACCTGGCACGGAGCCTGAAACCCTGGCAAGTGTCCTGACTGGGAATCATCTGGGACCTCCCAGTCCATGGGCAGAGGCTCAGTCCACTGAGCCACAGGGGCGGGGCCTGTTGGGCCTTTTCAGTGAGGTGTGCCCCTGGCCCAGGAGAAATTCCTCCAGGCTTGCTGACCTTGGGGAATAGAAGGAGGTCAGCTGAAGTGGCAGCCCCATGGCAGGAAACTGGCCTGCAGGGGAACCTCTGTGTGCAGGAATCCAGGAGAGGCCTTTCTGAGACAGATCAGACAAGACTGTTTAAAAGCAACTTTGCTGATCTGCAAAAATATAGACTTGCAGGTGTTTGCTTTCTGCCTCAGGCATGTGGACATTTGTGGTCATGGACCCGACCATGACCCTGAGCATAGCCAAGGTGGGCAGCCTGCACCCCACGCCCTCTCTTCTGCTGGCTCCGAGCTCACACCTGGCACCAGTCTGCCTATCCTGACATCTTGCCCACCTGTCCTGGGCACCTAGGGTGAAGGGGAGGGGAGCCCGTGAGTCTATCTGGGAAAACACAGATGTCTTCACTGAGGCCTTGAATGTTCCTGGAGTAAACTGCAACCTTATAGTGGCTCTTGGGGAACTTTGTAAATGGGGGTCTTACTAGACTCAGGGCTCTGGAACCGGAGCCAGCGTGGGAACCACCAGCCTGGGTTTCCCAGCTGTTTCCTCCAGGTGAATCTCTAACCGGGAGTCCCTCTCTGTTTCTCCCTCCACCCAGACCAAGGGAGCGATCCGCATTTCAGCTGGTGGCAAGACCTCTGCCATGTGATTCACAAGCATGAGGACTTGGCGTCTCCACCCTGACTTCTGAGGCGCTGAAACACCCTCCTTGCAAACTGTGCTACCAGGACAGAGAGTATCAAAGGACCTGGGTGTCCTTCTCTACCCGACCCATCTCACGGAGCAGAACGCTCTCCAGGTCCACCCCTGGGTGGCCAAGTGCAACAAGTTTATTTAGCACCTGTCACCTAACATATAGGCTGACCAAAAACACGCATGCGCACGTAGAGTAATTAGAAAGCCAGAATTTATTAAAACACATTTCCATTTCAAAGTGTAAGAGAATCAACAAGCACTGATCAACTCTTTTCTCAACATGTTTTCAAACTAGGAACCGTACGGGTCCAGGTCCGGCTAGAGAAGGAGAAAGCAATAGCACCCCAAACATCAGGAATCAATTTCTTCGGCATTTATGAAAATTCCCTTTTAATAGACTCTTGCCGGTTTTCTACGGCAAACTTTATCTTTTATGTATCCACATAAGTAGGTTTAGTGGATAAATTCTCTACTCTAATCAACCCATCAAGTTTCATGGCAAGAAGTGAGCCAAGTCACATCAGAGCCTCATCTCAATATGGGAGCAGGAGGGTGAGCTCAGGCACCAGGAAGTACAGACAGGGGTGGGAGGGCCCTGCCCCCTCCGCTGCACAGGACAGTGTGGGGAGGGGGTGGGGCAGGAATTCGCCAGCTATTCAATCTGAGGTTCTTGAGTCATCAAGTGGGAACCTGAAGAAATATGCCACCATCAGTCCTCACGAGGGTGGTCCTCACGCTGTGGAGAAAATATTCATGAAAAAATAAATGTCAGTCACTGTAACTGATGACAGTCTTAAAAGTCCACTTCGTTCTCAAAATGCCCCCAGGAACCACCATAACCCAGTCACGGCCCCTCAGCCGACCCCTTCCCCACGTCAGTCTCACCTTTACAAGCCGGGAGAGACGTGTCAGAGCCCTGGGAGCTGTCACAGCCTGGGGGGGACACACCAGGACATGGTCAGACCCAGGACAGGAGACTGAAGGAGGAACAGTGGGGTGAGGGCCCCATGGGCTCCCATCTGCTCTGTCACAGGGTCTCAGGGGTCACCCCCTCCATACTCACTGGCAGCCTGAGCGTAGCTCCCTCCTTTTCCACCTGCGGGAAGAAAACATCCTGTGAGACACCAGGGAGGAGGCAGGGTCATGAGGTGCTAAAGGAGGCCCTAGTCCTGACCCCAGAGAAGTTTCCAGAACTGTGTGCATAGACCCAGGGCAGGATCAGGAAAACTGTGGAAAGTACATGTCAGGAGCTGGACCAAGTGCCCTCCCCGAGGTCTGTCCTCGGCAGGGACCTTCCCTCTGACCTGTGGCTGCTGGGAAAGTGTCCCCATCACTAGAGTCACCAGGAAAAAAGTGTGTCCCTCATTTCCACACCTGCCTGACTACAGAGTGTTAGCACAGAGCCCACTCTGGGCAACGACACGCAGGGGACGGTTCCTCCCGTGAAGGAAGCAAGACACACTTCTCCCCCGGCTTGACACCCCCAGAAGGACCAGAAACTCAGACCCCACACCTTCCCCACCTGAGCGCCACCTGGTCCACACCACAGCTCCAGCCACAGCTGCCACCAGAAGCACAAGAACACCAACAACGATGCCCACGATGAAGGTGGTCTGAGGAGGCCGCTCTGGGAACAGAAGGGAAGGGGAGGTGAGGGCCCCAAACCCAGGCCTCAGCCCAGACCCCACTCAAGTCCTCCAGAGGCCCCACTTCCCTGGAAGGGGCTCTGTGCCCACATACCCTCCTCAACCCATCTCAGGGTCAGGGGCTCGGGCAGCCCCTCGTGCTGCACACGGCAGGTGTATCTCTGCTCCTCTCCACGGGGCACCACCAGGGCCGCCCACGTCTGGAAGGTCCCGTCCCCCGCAGGCCTGGTCTCCACAAGCTCCATGTCCTGGGTCTGGTCCTCCCCGTCACGCTGCCAGGTCAGGGTGATCTCCGCAGGGTAGAAGCCCCGGGCCCAGCACCTCAGGGTGACCTCACGCTCAGACATGGGGTGGTGGGTCACCTGTGTCCTCGGAGGGTCTGAGGGAAGGGTGAGAGAGTTCAGGGACTGTGCATGGTCAGGGGACACTCCAGCAGCGCTCACCTCAACACCCTGGGAATCGACAGGGTGGGGGAGGGGACCACAAAACCCAGATACCAGCCTGGACAGAGGAACCTGGAATGATCTCCTAGTCTCTAGAAAGTTCTATAATCAAATGGACACAGCCCACGGCCGAAGTCAGGTTTCCCAGGGGGATAAAAGGCATTTCTGGGCCTGACCTGAGTAGAGACCAACTGACTCAGAAACACGGGGGTCAGACCTCACACACGGTGGGTGTGGGGCAGCGAACAAGGCCTGAGAGACAGTCCCCAGGGTCCCAAGGGTTCTGCCTGGAGTATGGGAACCGCGGGTGTTTATTTCAGGGACGGGCTCCCCTGCTTCCTAAGTGTCCCTGGGAGAGGGTGGGAGTCCCTCAGGGACCTCATCTGAATATCCTGACCCAAGGAGGGGGTGCTGTGACCCCGATCCCATGTCCTGTCGCCGGGAGGACCCCAGCCCGAGGGGAGAGCAGGAGGCCCGAAGCCCCTGGTACCTGCGCGCTGCAGCGTCTCCTTCCCTTTCTCCAGGTACAGGCGGAGATACTCCAGGCACCTGCCCTCCACGTAGTTCCTCATGTGCTCCGCCACACCGCCCTCCTCCCACTTGCGCCGGGTGATCTGAGCCGCCGTGTCGGCCGCGGTCCAGGAGCGCAGGTCCTCGTTCAGGGCGATGTAGTCTTTGCCGTCGTAGGCGGACTGATGGTACCCGCGGAGGAGGCTCCCGTCCGCGCCCACCTCGCAGCCGTACATCCTCTGGATGATGTGAGACCCTGACCCCGCCCCGAGGTCAGCCCCGCCCACTCCCAGGAGTCAGCCCCGCCCCCACCCGGAAAGGATTCGGTCTAGAGTGAAAGTGAAACCGGGTCGAAGTCCCGGGCTCGTCCCGGGTGGGCCGGGCGGTCCAGCGGCCGCGGGGTGGAGCTCGAACCCGGACCCCGGGGCGACCCCGCCCGTCCGTGGGGATGGGGCCGGGACCGGGCGGCCGTGGCTCACCGTCCTCGCTCTGGTTGTAGTAGCCGAGCAGGTTCTTCAGCCTCACTCGGAAAGTCTGTGCGTTGTTCTTGCAGTTCCGCGTCTCCCGGTCCCAGTACTGCGGGTCCTCCCGCTCCACCCACGGCTGCTCCATCCACGGCGCCCGCGGCTCCATCCTCGGACTTGGTGCGTCGCTGTCGAACCGCACGAACTGCGTGTCGTCCACGTAGCCGACTTCCAGGTACCAGGGATCCCCTCGGCCGGGCCGGGACACGGCGGTGCTGAAATACCGGAGGGAGTGGGGGCCTGGGCGGGAGGAGCGGGCCGGTGGGGACGGCTGCCCGGTCCTGCCCGCCCGGCCCGCTCCTCCCCGCACAGGCCGCTCCCCGACCCGCACTCACCGGCCCAGCTGCGGGTCAGCACCAGCGCCCCCGAGAGCAGCAGGAGGAGGCTTGGGGACCTCATGACCCGCATCCTCGGGTCCGGGACCCTCTGAGTCCGGGCGGGTCCGCGGGGACCTGATAACTGGGGGCGGTGGGGACGCTGATTGGCTCCTGAGGGAAAGGACGGCCAATGGGAGTGAGAAGTGAGTCTGCGTCATGAGTATCCAGGAAGGAGGCCCCGACACAGGTTGTGACAGGCAGAAGTGAAACCAGGGAGCAGGGGACTCCCCAACAGTGAGCTTCTGTGCCCCAGACTCCGCCCTCCCGCTGAGGCCCGGAGAGCCAGGCCTTGGGACCTGGGACCTGGCCCTGACCCTCCTCCTGCAGGACAGCTCCCTGTGACCCGGCTCCCTGCGTCCCTCCCATGTGCTGTTTTATTCAGTCACTGAAACTTTTTGGTTTTAGATTCTCTATAGTCTTACAGATTAGGAAGGACCCCCAAAATAATTATGTTTATGTGGGTTATTGCTATCCATGTTTACCACACAAGGAATCAAATGGTATGAAAATTATATTAATGCATTAAATATATTAATAACCTATGACATGTTAAGAGAAATAATGTTTTTATGAAAAATAAGTTTCCCAAATAAACAGGGTACAGGGAGCAGGGGACCTGCTTACATTGCCTGTTCTTGCAGGTCTGGGGTCCCTTCTGCACCACTAGAAGACCGCTGCATTTTCATATTTGCTTCTCTGTTTAATCTGCCACCTTTCATTTTGTTTTGTTACCTGTGAGAGATTGTCGCAGTATAAAAATCATTTAGAGCCTACAGAAATATATAGGAGGAGCATTTTTAACGATTTTTCAGGTACTTTCAGATCGTTTTATTTTGGTACTCCACTACCATGACACAAGTGGTCGCTTCTAAAAACCTCACTGCAACGTGGATCCTGAAACAAAATGGAATATTTCCTGTTCTGTTCAAATCCACTGCTTTGTCTTGAATGATTGGCTGGTGTCCTGATGCGTGAGGATTTCAAAGTGATGCATTGTTTCACTAAGTTGTGGAGATCTCCCAGTGTTGGTACACTTCATTCCACATCGTCAAAATCCACATTTATTCATATGACCACAGATCCCACTAGAATCGTTTGTCAGCACTGGATCGCTGTCTTTCTTATATCGTGAGACCCAGCTATTCCAGAATTTTGGCTTTCCCTTGAGAACTTACACTTTTTTTAGAGAGAGGAAGGGAGGGAGAGAAACATGGATCTGTTGCATCCCACACAGGCCCCGATTAGAGATGGACCCTGGGCATGTCCTGAAGGGGAATCGAACTTGCGACCTTATGGTATCTCGGAAGACGTTCCAATCAACTGAGCCCCACGTGTCAGGGCTCTATGTGTGATTGTATTTATGAAAACCAGAGCCCGGTACAGGGACAGTGATGGGGACATGGGCTGGGTGTGGATTGGTGCACAGTGAGCGGATTGGAGACAGGTGGGAAGTACACAGGGGATGGGGATGCAGGGCAAGACAGGAGAGAGAACACAGGAAGATGGGGACCCAGGTGACGGCTACCCTTATTGGAGTAATGATGTTGCTTCTGGATTTTTGTGAAGTGGATCCATATTGCTAGTAATAGATGAGTAATAGAATCAACACGTTTGTCATGTGCTGTTTTAGAACGTGACATGTGATGCTACCTCCAGTGTAGCTCAGTGTCTAGAGTGTTGGCTTGTGGATCAAAGAATCGTGGGTTTGATTCTTAGTCTTGGGAACATACTCGGTTGCAGGTTCGAACCTGGCCCCTGTTGGGGTCTTGCAGAAGGCATCATATTGTCGTGTCTCTGGTGTCTTGTACTCTCACCCAAGGACTTTTTTTTTTCTTTTTAAGTTTCTTTTGGTATCTTTGTCGATCACAGGTAGGGACAGGGAGAGGAATGTGTGGCTGGAGTTAGGTAGACTCTTGAGGCTGGTGTCTTTTTTTTTTTTTTTTCCATTTCATCCTCACCCTAGGACACTTTTGCATTTATCTTCAGATGGAGCGGGAGAAAGAGAGGCAGGAAGAGAGAAAAGCATCGATGTGAAAGAGACACATCGTGTGACTGCCACCCACAAGACCCCAACCAGAGCCGGATATACTGCAACTGAGGTACGTGCCCTTAGTGGGAACGGAGCCCGGGCCTTTCTTGTCCTCGGGACTATACTTTAATTGCTGAACCAAACCAGCCAGGGCAATTGACATGTCTCTTACACATTGATGTTTCTCTCTCTTTCTCTCCCCTTCCCACCCACTTTATCTAAAATAAATTAATGGAAAAATATTCTCACATGACAGATTTTTTTAAATGTAATAGAATTTATAGATATTGTTCAACTGTTTAGTCAACATATTGTTAAGCGGATGACCCTTCTGGTCTCGGTTCTGCTCATGCCACAAACTCCCTCATTGTTCTTGTCATTGTTATCGAGTTCATGGTTGCTGATCACTATCCTGTACCACCTGTGTAAAAGATGTATGTGTCTATCATTTCTTTTTTCCTCCAATCCCAAAGGTGCCCCCAGCGGGTTTTGCTTTCTCTCGCCTCCTGAGTCTATCACCAAGGGATGTCATGTAACATACTCACGTCTCCTCCCTGGATGGTAATGTATCAAATCAGGTGTGAAACTGCCCTTCTCCGGAGCACTTTCTCAATCCATTCAGATTCTGCTTCTTGACGATTGTCAACAGTTTGGCTCCATAAACTCACACAATTCTCTAGAGGTTTGAATGTCTCTTACGTTGACACTCTACCTCACAGGGAGAGGGAACCGAGTTCTGGAGTGGACATGCTGAGCAGGCTGGAGTCCCCAAAGCTGGAGGACACGGAGGATAACTCAGGACTGGAATGCCCCGGCTCCTCCGATGTGGGACAGGCTCGGGGACCCGTGGATAATTTGCTTTCCCTGATGGAAAAAGGGGTAATAGTTGTATATTCTGTAGCTATTCCGAGCCTGGAATCGCTCAGTTCATTCTGGACCATGGAGTCAGGCGTGACTCCTGAACAGCTCCCTGGGTAGGTACTGAAGGTGTCCTGTTAGACAGAGATGAGTCACTGATCCAAAACCACCACAAAAGGAGGGTTCCTGCCCAGGGCCACCCATGGCTTGATGTCTTGGATATGCCACATCGATGTCATCTCTGGGGAGCACTTGTCTCACCTATTAGGGTGTTGGGAGGTATCATTCAGTCGTACACTAACGCAAGTGGCAAACTTGTTGAGTGCCGTCTATTTACCTGTAGGCTCGAATATCAGCTGTTAAAAAGAAGAACATTTCCAAGGGGATATAGGGCCAGTGAGGGGATAACACCCCCCTGTTCTTGTTTGTTTCCCCCACAAAATTTTCTTTAAACATATATACATATATATATATATTTTTTCTTTATTGATCTTAGAAAGGAAGGGAGCCCTGGCCAGTTTGGCTCAGTGGTTAGAGCGTCCGGAGAGACCCGGGTTCGCTTCCCACTAAGGGCACGTACTTCAGTTGCAGTTTGTACCCGGCCCTGGTTGGTCGTGCGAGTGGCAGCTACTCGATGTGTCCCTTCACGTCGATGTTTCTCTCTCTCTCTCCCTTCCTCTGTCTCCCTCCCACTCTATCTGTACATAAAATGGCAAAATATTCTCAGGTGAGGATAAAAAAAAAAAAGAAAAGGGAGAGGGAGAAAGAGATAGAACTATCAATGAGAGAGAACATCGATTGGCCGCCTCCTGCATTACCTGACTGGGGATTTAGCACACAACCTGGGCATGTGCCCTGACCGGGAATGCTACCAGTGACCTCATGGTATATGGATGGATGCTCAGCCACTGAGCCACACTGGCCAGGCTTAAACTTACTAACTTACTTATTTCTTTGTTCATTCATTCATTCATTCATTATTTAATTTCAGAAAGAGAGACCGACTGGCAGACATAGATTTGCTGCTCCACTGGTGTATGCATTCAGTGGTTGCTCCTGTGTGTGCCTTGAATGGGGATCAAACCCACAACCTGGTCTTATAGGGACAACGCACGAACCAACTGGGCTACCCAGCCAGGGCTGGGAACTTACATCAGGACTGATAATAACAAATTGACACCAGACTAAGATGCACAGAAGAAAACCCGATTTAATATGTCCTCCTAGGTGAATTTAAATATCCTGCTGCCCTGGCTGGTTTGGCTCAGCGGTTACAGCATCAACCTGCAGTCCAGAGAGGCCCAGATTCGGTTCCCACTAAGGGCACGTACCTCAGTTGTAGTTTGTCCCCGGCCCTGCTTGGGTTGTGCCGGTGGCAACCACTCCATGTGTCCCTTTCAGGTCCATGTTTCTCTCTCTCTCCCTCCCACTCTAGCTGAACAAAATATCGAGAAATGTCCTCGGGTGAGGATAAATAATAAAATAAAACATTCTGCTGCCATCAGAAAAGGAGGCTCAGAGAAATAATCGAAGCAACCATGTTTTGTACCTTTTTAGACAAAGAAACCATAAATTTGTGAGAAATTGGATGTCTTTTAAGAGAGTGAGTCAGTGCTTGTTCTGAAGGCACCTGGCAGGGTTCTTTCCAAAGACCCAACCCGCATCGTGGGCCTGGGTGTGACCAGCGTGTACCTAGAAGGTTTCAGCCCGAATCTATTGTTCCTCTGACAAGGCTGTGGGTCAGCACGAGGGGACGCAGTGCCTGTGACATGGACATTTATCTCCTGCTTTTAGGGGGTACAGATTGGGGCTTTCTTCTTACCTGGCAGATTTTTAAAAATTTTTTATTATTACTTTTTAATCTTTATTATAAAAGCATTACAGATGTAGCTTCTATTTGAAAAAATTTTTTTTAGTTTTCAATTACAGGGAACATTCAATGTTATTTTGTATTGGTTTTCAGTGACCCCACCCATTCTGAAGGAGTAGGTAAAAGAAAGGCCCACGGAGGTCCAGCTGTGCTAGGAATTTGCTCTCATCTGCTCTCCAAGGTCCAGACTGTAACAGCTGGGGCCCATGGGAGTCACTAAGATCACCACCTCCCCGGCCTTGTGAAGCTGCCCCTGCCCTGAAGGCCTGGCTGGGGTCAGTGGGCTCAGATGTGGGCCCTGCAAAGGCACTGACGTGCTCCTTCGATTTTCCTAGGAAACACCCCCTTTCCTAATGCAATGAGCAAACAGGCCATGGGAAGACCAGAACCCAGCTCTCGGATTTTGGTGGCACAATATACTACATAGGGGGGTGTGGGACTTTAATAGTACATGTGAGTCTGGCCAGGGTGGCTCAGTGGGTGAGTGTCAGCCCATGCACCAAGAGGTTGCAGGTTAGATTCCCAGTCTGGACACATGCCCAGGTTGTGGGCCAAATCCCCGGAGTTAGGCATGCAGGAAGTTGTCCATCTATGTTTCCTCTCGTCTATGTTTCTGTCTGTCTCTCCCTCTTCCTTCTTCTCTCTCTAAAATCAATTTTAAAAAAAAATTTTAAACCTCATCCGAGGACATTTTTTTATTTTTTGTTTAGATAAAGTGGGAGGGAGAAAGAGAGAAACATGGATGTGAAAGGGACACACCGCGTGGCTGCCACTCGCACAACCCAACCAGGGCCGGGGACAAACGGGAACTGAGGTACATGCCCTTAGCGGGAACCAAACCCGGGTCTCTCTGGACCACAGGCCAATACTCTAACTGCTGAGACAAACCGGCCAGGGCAATAAAAAATTTTTAAGTACATGTGAGTCTTGGCCACGTTGGTCAGTGGTTAGAGTGTTGCCCATGGACCAAAGGGTCTCAGGTTCATTTCCCAGTCAAAGGGTTATAGGTTTGATCCCTGACCCCTGTTGGGGTCCCGTGGAGGCAGCAAATCACTGTATCCCTCTCAGTTCGATGTTTCTGCCTCTCTCTCTCTCTCTCATTCTTGTATTTTATCTAAAAATCATCATCATCATCATCATCAATGGAAAAATATCCTTGGGTGAGGATTAATCAAAAAAACAAAAAGTGCATACAAGCCCTGGCAGGTGGCTCAACTGGTCACAGCATCATCCCTGTATGCCAAGGTGGCGGATTTGATCCCTGGTCTGGGCCGTTGCAAAAATCAACCAGTGAATGCATGAATACGTGGAAAAACAAATCCATGTTCTCGCAGTCTGTCAAATCTATTTTTAAAGTGCATTCAATAGCCTGGCTCCCAGCCCTGACATCCTGACTTGATTGGAATGGGGTGGGGCTCAGGCATGGGGTGTGGAGGGGTGGTTGAAAAGTTCTCCTAGGTGAGTCTGAGCGGTGGTGAAGTTTGGAAGGACCAGGTCAGAGACGCAGCTGCACTTCGCAGTACATCAGTGGACCCGGTCAGCCGAACCTGCGTTGTGTTGCCAAGTCTACCTCAGCCAAGCTGGGGGCAGGGGACAAAAAAAGAAATACCGACCTAGAGAGATGAGCAGTAATGGGGAGACTGGAGGCACAAGGCAGCGGGTATTTCTGCTCCCCAACTGGGACACTTTTGAATGTGGGCCAATATTCACTGGAGAACCAACAGAAATGCCAATAAAAATGCCTCCTGTGGACCTGGCGGGTTTGGCTCAGCGGTTAGAGCATCGGTCTGAGGTCGCGAAATACCCAGGTTCGGTTCCCCCTAGGGGCATGTACCCCTGTTGCTGTTTGTCCCCGGCCCTAGTTGCGGTCGTGCGGGAGGCAGCCACTCCATGTGTTCCTTTCACGTCGATGTTTCTCTCTCTCTCTCCTCCTCTGTCTGAACAAAAATTGGAAAAATGTTCTCAGGTGAGGACCAAAAAAAAAAAACCAATGATTTTTATGAGTTCACGGGGAATACAGGGAGTTGCGTTTAGTGGTCCAGTGAACAAGCAGCACCTTGAGAGCGTGGGCCATAAACGTCAGGTGCAGCATTCGAGGCGGTGAACAGACCCACACAGGTGCACACACAATTCCTGCTGCAGGACGCCAGCTGAAGGCTGCACTCACCCCGCACTGGTGTAGAAAACAGCTGCCCCCTGTTCACCTGAGCCTGGCCCTTCCCATCCCGAAGCAGCCAATGGTCAAGGGCAACGTCACAGCCCAGGATTCCCCAAAGACCAGCAGCATGCGGTTGCCCGGTGGGATCTGACCCTGGAGCTAAGGGGTGGAGTCGGCAAGTATTTTCTCCCATCTGGTTCCCAAAGACCTTCTCTGTCACTGATTTAATCCTGTGTGTGGGGCCCTAGTCTGCGTCCGCACCCTCTCCGCTGAGACTGGTCACCCAGGGGCCAAAGATAGCTGTTGAAAAAATTAACTGCCCTATTTCCCAGACATAAAACGCTTCTTTTGGGGTATTTAGGTACGTGCCTCCCCCTTTCCAGTCTAGGACCGAACTGGGGGTGCAGTGACTCAAGGTCAAGGTCAGCGGAGGATCGGGTGGTGTCATGAAGTTCATGAGCTAATCTGTTAACTGTGGGTCATGGTCATCCATCTTCAGGTGCTCTGTGTCCAGTGAGGAAACCTGGTCGCAGGTGAACCGGCTATGTAGTGATGATAAGGGAGGACTCACCTTCAAAACCAGGCCCCTTAGTGGTCAGTGTATCTGTGGGGTCAGCGAGGTCGCCGGTGTGTCCCAGGGGAGCTGCAGAGCAGACAAAGGGTGGATGCAAATTGAGGATTAGGGACATCAGAGCCTCAGAAAATCGCCTCCACCACCCGTCCTCTCTTAAAGATTGAACGTATTGGGATGACATCAGGTAACATATAAGTTTCAGGAGTGCAATTCTGTTAGCCTCCAGGTATCCAGGGTCTTTCAAATTAGGGGTTTGGGAGAATAAAGAAATTTTCATGTTAATTTTATCCTAGAAATTTTAATTGCTTTGAGGTTAGGACATAACTTTTTTAACTTGTTCTTAGAAATGAGTAAGGGTGTGTGTGTGTATTTTTAACCATGAGTAGGGTCAATATTTTTTTCTAGGTATTCTATGGGAATGTGCAGAAAATCTTATTTTTTGCTAGGGCTCTGTTTTGAATAATCCAACACATGAACTTCATCTGTGCATCATCAGTCATCTCTCTTCTCCTCTTTTCTCATCCCACCCCCTGCACCCCCTCCATGTTATAAAATAGCTCAAACATTTTAGTAAAGTGAATTGAGTTCAACTAGCCTCCACAAAAGGGATGTTTTCATGGGAGACCCCTTCTGGCATTTTAAGACCAAAGATGATGCGAGGGCACAAAGCAAAATGTGTCCTTCAGTTCACGCTCCCTCACTCAACCCATTTCCTGCTCATCCCCCCAAAACACTGTGTGTGTATTTGGGGTGGGGGCACCCTTCTGTGCCCACCGTCGGGTTGGATGCTGTTAAGAGTGCAGGGCTTAAATGAACACACCTGTTCTTGATCAACACCCAAATGGCCTCAGTCTTGTTGAGGACAACAAGCTTGCATCTCACGATATTTGCATTTGATGTGCATGAATCTGGCCGGGGCATGTGTGGCTCCATGGGTAGGGTTAGGGCTTGAGCCCCAAAGGGTTGCAAGTCCCTGGGCTGCAGGTTTGATCCTGGAGTTGCAACCAGTGCTGTGGGGTGTGTGCGCGCATGTGTGTATGTTACTCTATCTAAACATTAGTGGAAAAAATATCCTCAGGTGAGAATGAACAGAATTATTAACTTAATGTAAAGATGACTTGGAAGTTATAATATTTTTGCAAGTGGTTTTCTTGGCTTTATATCTACAGACCTACCTATGAATGTTAATATTAGACTTCCCTTACACATTTTTTTGTTTTTGGGTTTTTTGTGGGTTTTTTTGTCCTCACCAGAGGACATTTCTGCATTTCTCTTCAGATAGAGTGGGAGGGAGAGAAGGAGGAAAAGAGAGAGAGAGAAACATCGATGTGAGAGAGACACATCGAGTGGCTGCCACCCACATAACCCCAACTGGGGCTGGAGACAAACTGCAAGAGATATGTGCCCTTAGCGGAAACCAAACCCGGGTCTCTCTGGTCCGCGGGCTGACGCTTTAACCACTGAGCCAAACTGGCCAGGGCTCCTTACACACTTTTTTTCTCTTATAATTTTTTAATTGAATTTATTGGGGTGACACTTGTTAACAAAATGATACAGGTTTTGGGTGCACAATTTCATGATACATCATCTGTGTACTGTACTGTGTGTTCACCACCCCAATTCAAGTCCCCTTTCATCTGCATTTATCCCCCCTTTACCCTCCTGCACCTCCGTCTATACCCCCCACACACACACACACACACAATCACCACACTATTGTCCATGTTCCTGAGTTTCTACTTTTTTGTTTTTGTTTTTTTTTGTTCTTTACTGACGAAGGTTTTGAATCCCACTCTCTGGTGCTGTTCCGGGAACCAGGGTTATAGATAGAAAAATAATCGCAGAGTTGATCATCTAGTAACAGGATGGAAATCTTGTCAAGTCATCTTTAGTCTATGAAGAATTGTTCCCTATGAATTGGGTATTTCTGTGTTTAACAGAAGCATAGAGAATGTGGCTCCATCTAGTGACCTGATTGAAGCTGGTTGTATGAATGGGCTGATTTTTTAAAAATTTAATTGTTGACACTATTACAGATGTCCCCCATTTTCTCCCAGTTTGCCCCTCTCCACCCAGCCCCCACTCCCCTGAAACACCAGTCAGAAAGAATATATGCACGCTGGTATTCATAGCAGCATTCTTTACAATAGCCACAATCTGGAAACAGCCCAAGTGCCCATCGGTAGATGAGTGGTACATTTACACGATGGAATACTATGCAGCTGTACAAAAGGAACTCTTACCCTTTGTGGCAGCATAGATGGACCTGGAGATTATTATGTTAAGTGCAATCAGCCAGTCAGAGGAAAGCAGATATGATCGCACTTAACATGTGGAATCTAATGAACTGAATAAACTGACAAACCAGGCCCAGAGACATGGAAGCATGGAACAGACAGAGGGATCTCACAGGAGTGGGGGAGGAGGGGTGAGAAATGAATGTGATCATTTGATGCAAGACTCTCCTTTAAATCTTATCTCTCTCCCCCAGGTCCCATTTGCTCCCAACAACCAAACAACCTGCTTTTCTATCCTCACAACAGCCCTTAGCCTTGCATTAAGATGGGAGAAACCAACATACCCTCCTCTTCCAACTATGGACTGCGCTGGTGTCTCCAGCATCTGGGCAAAGACGACTTTCAGACATTCAAGGAGTCACTAAAGGAGAGTGCTTTGGAATGGGCCACGTGCTCTGTTCCATGGGCGGAAGTGGATGATGCAGACGCGGAACATCTAGCCTCCCTCTTGCATGAGCATTGGAGAGGTCCTCTTGTCTGGGAGCTAGCCACAGACATCTTTCACAAGATGAACCTGCCAGCACTCTCTCAGAAGGCGAGGGATGAGATGGAAAGTGAGTAAGGTGTGCCCTGGCCAGTGTGGCCCACGCACTGAAGGGCTGCAGGTTCGATTCCTGGTCAAAGGTTGCGGTTGCATCCTGGCCCCAGTCAAGGTGCATGCAGGAGGCAACCAATCAATGTGTCTCTCTCACATTGATGTTTCTCTCTCTCTCTCAAATCAATAAAAACATACTTTTTTATTTTAAAAAATTAACTTTAGAGAGAGGGGAAGGAGTGGGTGGGGAGGAGGGGAGAGAGAGAAAGAAAGAGAGGTTGATTTATTTATTTATTATTATTTTTTATCCTCACCCAAGGACATTTTTCCATTTTTTCTTCAGATAGAGGGGGACGGGGAGAAACATCGGCGTGTAAGGGACACATCTAGTGGTTGCCACCCAAATGACCCAACCAGGGCCGGGGACAAACTGCAACCGAGGTACATGCCCTTAGCGGGAACCGAACCGCAGGCCGACGCTCTAACCGCTGAGCCCAACAGGCCAGGGCGAGACGTTGATTTGTTGTTTCACTTATCTGTGCATTCATTGGTTGATTCTTGTATGTGCCCTGACTGGGGATCAACCCCACAACCTTGGTGTATGGGAACGATGCTCTAATAAACTGAGTCACCTGGCCGGGGCCATTGGAGTGACTTTATGGACATTGTTCTGTCATCTGCTTTGTGCTGCAGAGTGTTCCCTGGCTGAAACACTAGGAGACCCTACAGCCACAAAGACTGACCAAGGAACAAGCATGAACGAACACACAGGTCAGTGTGTGGCGGTGGGTACAGGGTTTTCTATCTCCACCCATGGCACTGCCCAATCCGCTGAACTCACACCGTAGCCTGGTCATTGTTCTAGTCTATTTATTTCTGACTGAACAATTTTTCCTCTACCCTTTACCTAATTAATCGGGAAATCATGAGCCCTACCTTGGAAGTGGGATGAGTTTCTACATGTTGCTTCCCATATCCTGTATATCAGAATCATCTCTCTTGAACCTCTAATCTGTTTTCCCTCTGGTTACATGAAATCTGCCCCCCCCCCAATAACAATCAAGGTGATCTTTTAAAAATTTCCACCAGGACAGACTCATAAAGAGCAGGCAGACAGCTTTGGTGGGAATGGTGTTGTGGAGGGGGACGGGGGAGTGGGGATTGAGAAAAAAATTTTTTAAAAAGGAAGAACTCATGGCCCCGGCCGGTTTGGCTCAGTGGTTAGAGCGTCGGCCTGCGGTCCAGAGAGACCCAGGTTCGGTTCCCACTAAGGGCATGTACCTCAGTTGCAGTTTGTCCCTGGCCCTGGTTGGTCGTGTGGGTGGCAGCCACTCGATGTGTCCCTTTCACGTCAATGTTTTTCTCCCCCTCCCCCTCCCTCCCTATCCCTCCACTCTATCTGAACAAAAAGTGGAAAAATGTCCTCAGGCGAGGATTTAAAAAAAAAGGAAGAATTCATGGACACAGACAACTGTGTGGTAACTGTGGGTGCGGGGGGATGGACAGGTGGAGGTGAAGGAAGGCATGGGGGGTATAAATGGTGATGGAAAAAAATAAAATAAAATAAAAAACAGCCCGGCCGGTGTGGCTCAGTGGATAGAGCGTCCTCCCATGGACGGTAGAGGTCCCAGTTCCATTCCCGGTCAGGGCACATGCCTGGGTTGCAGGCTCGATCTCCAGTAGGGGGCGTGCAGGAGGCAGCCGACCAATGTTTCTCTCACAAAAATGTTTCTCTCTCTCTTCTCTCTTAAGAAAAAAATTAATGAAACATAATTTTAAAAAATAACTACTTTCAGAAAGGAAAAAAATTTAATGCAACATTAGTACTCCTCTGTTTAACAATCCTGAGGTAGTTTTCTATTGCATTTGAGATTCAGTACCTGATTTTTCCATAACTGGTGAGACTAACACCACCCCTATGACTGCTCCTTAAACAGGGCACGTCATCCCCCCATCATCTGAGACAAACACGGACATAGCCACTCCAGGAAGCTGTTACCTGAGAAGTGCACACAGTGGCTACTCTGTGTTACTACGAGGTGTCTGAGGCTCATTTCTTCAGACCAGATCACCTCATCGAATCTTCAGAGCAACATCCCAACATAGGAACTTTTTTTATCTTTGCTTCTTAAACATTTACATTGACTGGGTTTTTTGGTGTTTGTTTGTTTTTTTTAATCTTCACTGGAGAATTATTTTTTTATTTTTAGAGAGAAGGGAGAGAGAGGGGTGGGGAGAAACATCAGTTGGCTGCCTCCCCTACTGAGGATTGAGCCCGAAACCTGTTCGTGTGCCCTGACTGGGAATCAAACCGGCGACCTCTTCCTGCATGGGCTGATGCTCAATCCACTGAGCCACACCAGCTGGACTGGAGAATATTTTTTCTTTTTTTTTTTTTTTTTGAGAGAGTGGGAGGGAGGGAGACAGAGAAGCAGAGAAGCATCCATGTGAGAGAGACATCAATTGGTGCCTCCCACACGCACCCAACTGGGGCTGGGAATCTATCCTGCAACCCAGGTACATGCAACCCAGGTACGTGCCCTCGACTGAAAATCAAACCTGTGACCCTTCAATGTGTGGGCCAATGCGCTAACCACTTAGCACACTGGCCAAGGCCTTTTTTAAAAAAATAAGTATTTTTTATTAATTGATTTTTCATTTTTTTAATTTATTTTTTTAATTTCATTTTTGTTAGATGTTTCTCCTTTTTTACCCCATTGACACCCTCCTCCCCATCCCCCCCTGCCCCGTCCCTGGCTTTGTTGTCCAGGTCCATTGGTTATGCGTACATGCATATAAGTTCTGTGGTTTATCTCTTCCCTCCCCCCACACCCCCTCTTCTGAGGGTTGTCAGTCTGTACCCCACTTCCACATCTCTGGGACTACCCTATCCCTCAGACTGTTATGTCATTATATTCCACAAATAAGTGAGATCATGTGGTAAATGTCCAAAAGTCTCCAAAGAATAAAAAGCAGAAATGAGACCAGGACCCGTACTGATCTTGAACCTGGTCCTTGTTTGACATACATTCTGCCCCTCTAGCTGAGCAGGTGACTCCGGATGGGTCAGAAGAAGACATCTAGCATCGCAAACCATATGTCGGGGATTCTGTGGGTCTGGCCTGGATGACGGACCTAAGTGTGTGGTGGTTTATTCTTCCCTCTCTTTTTTGCAGAGATGTCAGAAGCTGTGGGACGAGATAGTGCCGCAGCAGCAGAGACAAAAGACCAAGGTAAAAAAACTGACTCATTGTTTTCCTGCCATCTTGGAGTGAAGCTGGGGGCTTGCTGCTGTCTGTGGCGTGTAAACTGTTTTCCTTTGTCCATCCACTTCATCCCGGGTACACTGATCCCTTCCTTCTCTCAGGGCTCCTGGGATCATTACGGCGGGCAGGGTCCCAACGATGCTCACTGTCATTATTGGTGGTCTGTTTTTTGTTGTTTTGGGTTGTTTGTTTGTTGTTAATCCTCACCCGAGGGTATTTTTTCCACTGATCTTTAGAGAGAGTAGAAGGGAGGGGTGGAGAGAGAGAGAGAGAGACACACACACACACACACACACACACACACACACACACATTTAGGTAAGACATTGATTGGTTGCCTCCCGCATGACCCCAACCAGGGCTGGGGATCAAATCTGCAAGCCAGGTACGTGCCCTTGACTGGGAATTGAACCCATGACCCTTTGGTGTGTGGGTTGACACTCTGACTACTGAGTCAAACCGGCAAGGGTGGCAGTCCCTTTTTATTTGGGCTCCCAGGACCAGCTTGTTGGACAGGTGCTGATAAATAGAGACAGCAAGCCTAGTGCTTTGTTCAAAATTCCTTGTTAGCAGTCACTTTTTCGTTCTTTAAATTTTGTTTCTTAAAAAAAAATTTTGCCATGGCCGGTTTGTCTCAGCAGTTAGTGCATTGGCCTGCGGTCCAGAGAGTCCCAGGTTCGGTTCCCGCTAAGGGCACGTACCTCGGTTGCAGTTTGTCCCCGGCCCTGGTTGGTCATGCGGGTGGCAGCCACTCGATGTGTCCCTTTTATGTCAACATTTCTCTCTCTCTCTCTCTCCCTCCTTTTCTCCCTCCCACTCTATCTGAACAAAAAATGGAAAAATGTCTTTGGGTGAGGATAAAAAAAGAAATTTTTTTCTTTCCTTCTTTTAACCTTTATTTTGTGACCTCGTTTAAAACACTGACTGACATGGATTTAGGGGCAAAATATATATATTGAACTGAAAACAGTTCAAAGTTGTATATTAATTAGACCCAACAATATAAAATGAAGATGAGAGAGCCCCAGGGGTGGTGATTCTGTGAAATGACAGCTGTGCCCCAGCCGGGTGGCTCAATTGATTGGAACATCATCTGTACACCAAAAGGTTGTGGGTTCAATTGCCTGTTATGACATGTATGGGAGGCAACCGATCAATGTTTCTCTCATATTGATGTTTCTCTCTTTCTCTCAAAAAAAAAAAATCAATGAAAATATATCTTCAGGTAAGGGTATAATAATAATATTAATAATTGCTGAGAAGAAACAATATATCATGGACAGGGTGGGACAAAAGTGAGTGTACAGTTGTTCATATAATAAAATAATGCAGTAATTAATAAATATAGTACAAGAATAAACGCTGTGTTTCGTGTACTCGCAACTGTAAACCTACTTTTGCCCCACCCTGTATGTAGAGTGAAATCCAGATTGTCTTCTAACTTTGTTTTCCTGCCTTTCTTCTCCCCTCTCTGGTCTCATGTAGGCCCAGGAGGTGATGAATGGAACTACAAACGTCACGTGATGACAAAGTTTGATTCCACCCCGGATGCACACCACGGTTGTGAAACCTTTGCCGCTGATTGTCCACAAATGCAAATGTTGTGTGATACTTTCACTTCAGACAAGTGGGGCTTCCATCCACTCACCGTGGTCCTGCATGGAAGAGCAGGGGTCGGGAAGTCAGCTTTGGCCAGAAGAATCCTGCTGCATTGGGCCCACGGAAAGATTTACCCGGGCATGTTCTCCTACATCTTCTTCCTAGATGCCAGAGACATACCATCGAGGAAAAAAAGCAGTTTGGAGGAGTTAATTTCTAGGGAGTGGCCAGACTCCCCGGTCCCTGTAAGAAAGATCATGTCCCAACCAAAAAGGCTCTTGTTTGTGGTCGATGGTTTTGATGACCTGGACGTTGCCTTGGAAGATGCTGACATGAATATCTGTGCTGACTGGGCAGAGAAGCAGCCCAAGTCTGTCCTGATGTATAGTCTGCTGAAGAAGGTCCTGCTCCCTGAGTCTTCCCTAATAGTGATAGTCAGAGACATGAGCATAGAAAAGCTCAAATCTATACTCACCTCTCCCCATTACCTCTTCATCAAAGGAATCTCAATAGAAAGAAGGATTCAGTTGTTCCTCGAGCACATTAAGAATGAGGAACAAAAAATACAAGTCTTGCGGGCAGTGCTGGACAACCACATACTGATTGACAGGTGCCAGGTGTCCGTCATGAGGTGGCTCATCTGCCAGGCCCTTGAGCTGCAGATGGCATCGGGGAAGAGCCTGCCCCCTACCTGCCAGATCCTCACAGGCTTGTACACCACTTTTGTGGTCCATCAACTAACCCCTCGAGATGTCTCGGGACGCTGTCTCAGTCCCGAGGAAAAAGTCGTTTTGAAGGGCTTGTGCCGGATGGCTGCAGAGGGCGTGTGGTCCATGAAGTTTGTGTTTTACAGCGATGACCTACGTGTTCACGGACTGACAGAGCCAGAACTCTCCACTCTGTTTCGCAGGATCATCCTTCTCCGAGATGGCCTCGGGGAGAGGTGTTTCACGTTCCTGCACCTCAGCCTGCAAGAGTTCTGTGCTGCCTTGTACTACATTCTAGAAGGATTGGAAACAGAGTGGGATCCCCGCCCTCTGTGTGTAGAGCATACGAAGAGTCTGAAGGAGCTCCAAAACATCAGCTTCAACATCCACTTGCTCCAGATGAAACGTTTCTTGTTTGGCCTCATGAACAGAGAGGTGGTGAGAGCCCTAGAGGACATGCTGGGCTGTCCCATTGCCCTGGTGGTGAGGCGGGTGCTTCTCCACTGGGTCTCTCTGTTGGGTCAATGGGCCGACACCACCTCCCCCCTGCACTTCCTAGACTCTTTCTACTGTCTTTTTGAGACCCAAGATGAAGAATTTGTCCGTTTGGCATTGAACAGCTTCCAAGAAGTGAGGCTAACGATGAACCGGCCAATGGACTTGATGGTGACTTCCTTCTGTGTCCAGCGCTGCCAGCATCTGCAGAAAATTCAGATGGACGTCAGAGAGATCTTCCCAGAGGATGAGTCCACCAAGACGTGGCCCATACTCCTGCAAGGGTGAGCGCCAAGCTCTGCCATCTCATTCTTTCCATCCCAACAGAGTTTTTGGTGTTTGCAGATAATAATAGCCACAGTGAAGCTAATTAGCATATCCATCACTCACATGGCTACCATTTTCTTATGCGTGTGTGTGGTGAGAACCCTTAAGACCTACCATCCTAGCAAATTTCAAGTGTGTGACTCCATGACGGTAATTGAATGTCCATCTCTGCCCTTTGACCAACATGTCTCCATGTCCCCCTGCCCCCACCACTGACAGCCACAACCATGTATGTTTTGCCTGCACAAATTCTACTTTTAGATTCTTTCTTTTCCTTTTTTTTATTTGATGGCAGAGAGAGAGAAACATTGATGAGAGAGAACATCGATTGGCCACCTCCTGCATCGGGCCCACAACCTGGGCATATGTCCTGACCGGGAATCGAACTGGTGACCTCCTGGTGCATGGGTCGATGCTCAACCACTGAGCTACACTGGCTGAACTCTACTCTTAGATTCTGCATGTGAGATCACACATGTCTTTCTGTGTCTGGTTTATCTCACTCAGCATCATGTACTGTGGGTTTATCCATGTTGTGGCCAATGGCAGTACCTCCTTTTTGACGGCTGAGTAATATTCCATGGGGGTATGCTATTTTCTTTATCCATTCACCCATCCAACAACGTTTGGGTTGTTTCTATATCTTGGCTGTGTGGATAATAGAGTGTAAATATCTCGTAGGATCCTGCCATCAATTCTATTGCATAAGTGAGATTATTGGATCTTTTGGTAGTTTTATTTTCCTTTTTTTGAGGCACCTCCCTACTGTTTTCTATAGTGGTCGCACCATTTTACATGCAAAGGGGAGCTGGAATGTAAGTGCAATCTGATTTGAGAGCTGGGGTGGGGTGGGGCTCCAAACCAGCCTACTATACCCTTGGGTACCAAATACTTGGGACACAGGATGGATAGGAGTGTGCCCATGCAGAGCACAAGCTGATGTCGCTAGAGTGTCCTCTGAGCCTCTAAACCAGCAGTTCTCAACCTGTGGGTTGCAACCTCTTTGGGATCGAATGACCCTTTCACAGGGGTTGCCTAAGACCACCGGAAATACAAATTTCCTATGGTCTTAGGAACTGAGACACCACTCTCTATCGGTCTCCGGGTGGCTCCACCCACATGCAGATACATCCATATACAACATGAGGAACTGTATTAGGAAGGTTGAGAACCACTGCTCTCAACCCATCCCCATCTTGCCCTAATAGATTGGTCTCTCTTCTCTGACATGTGGCCAATGCTCATGTTAAAATCCATCCCGTGGAAGTAAATGCTTCTTCCCTTCTCCAATGTAGGATGGAGACCAGGCCACTGGTTACCGAGTGGTGGGAAAACCTCTGCTCCGTGCTCAGCACCCACCCAAGCCTGCAGCAGCTGGACTTCAGTGGCAGCATCCTGAATGAGTGGGCCCTGAGGACCCTGTGCATCAAGTTGAGACAGCCCACCTGTAAAATACAGAAGCTGATGTAAGACTTTCCAGTCCCTGGTACATGCCCTCTGCATGGCCCTGTCATAGCTCTTCTCGTCCACCTACTAAGACCAGTATACAATGTATTCAGAGGAGACAAGTGCTGTGGGAGGTATAAGAATCAAGTTCCCAAAACCACAAAGTGGGGAGTGACTAAAGACCTTGTGAAGGGATTACTGAGATGGGTTCATTTATTCGGGGTTTTGAAGGATGAGTAGGAGTTTGTTAGTGGGAGGGGGAGAAGGAGGGAGCTCATTTAAATCAGTCCTCATTGCTTTTAGGCTAATTCATAAGTCACAAATATTTGAATGCCTAATAAATTCCTGGGTCTGTTGTAAACCCCAAGGTACTCACCAGGCCCTGCTATACTTTGAAGGTTCTATTTTAAGTTTCCTCCCAAGACCAAGCAAAGCCCACATGATAGCCAAGACATGAGCCAGTCAGGTTCTTGGCTGCAAATGTCTTTCCCTTCCTGCTGTTTCTGTCTGAGGGCTTCCCTTAAAAGGGGCTGTGCCAAGGAGCTGGGTGATCCCAGAATAATGAATGATGCCCTTGTGACCTTGTCCTGCACCAAATTTAACTGCTCTTCTAGCTGTTATCTGACCACTTTTCCCAAGGAAGCCCTCCCCATAGCTGTCCCTGGTTTAAACTCTAGTTACACCCTGTAATCTGCTCTAATCAATATCCTCACAGTATTTGTAATACAACAGTAATACATGACAATGGCAAAAAGATTTAGGAATTACACAGGTGTTAATTAAGCAAACCCTCTGACGCCTCTTCAACGTCCTATCTCTCTAACTAATTGTCTCCAATATTTTCCGTGAAAGTGTATGTTCATATTGGCGGATGAAATTTTTTAACCCAAAGGACGTCATGTTATACACACTGCTCTGATATTTGACTTATTTTCGACTACAACTGTGTGTAGTTCTATTCTTTTTTTATCTTTATTGATTTTAGAGAGAGGAAGGGAGAGGGAGAGACAGAAACAGCAATGAGAGAACCTCGATTGGCTGCCTTCTGCATGCCCCCCACTGGGGATCGGGCCCACAACCTAGGCAGGTGTCCTGACCAGGAATCGAACCAGCGACCTCCTTGTGCATGGGTCGACACTCAACCACTGAGCCACACCAGCTAAGCGTAGTTTTCTTAATAGATATACTGCATTTTATTCTTTTGGGAAGGGACAGTTTGATTAGTTCTCAAGTTTTCAATTACACTTGATATTCAATATTATATTAGTTTCAGGTGTACTACATAATGATTGGACATTTATATAACTTATGAAGTGATCCCCTGGTAAGTCTAGTTCCAACCTGGCACCATCTATAGTTATTACAATATTAACTGTATTTCCTATGCTATACTCTACATACCTGTGACCATTTTGTAACTGCCAATTTGTACTCCCTTTTTTGTTATCCTCACTGAGGATATGTTCATTGATTTTTTTTTTTTATGAGAGAGAGATGAGAAAGGGGAGGGAGGGAGGGAGACATTGACATTGGTCAGCTGCCTCCCATATGCACTCCAACCAGCACCTCCAACCTAGGTACGTGACTGAGTCGAACCCTCCACCTTTCGGTGTACAGGAAGATGCTCCAACCAACTGAGCCACTCAGTCAGGGCCCAATCTGTACTTCTAATCCCTTCACCTTTTCTACCAGCCCCTCAACATCCTCCCCTCTGGTGACAGTCAAAATGTTCTCTGTATCTATGAGTCTGTTTCAATTTTGTTTGCTTATTTACCATATTTCATTCTTTCTTTTTTTTATCCTCACTCGACATTTTTTGTATTTATCTTCAGATAGAGCAGGAGGGAGAGAGGGAAGAGGAAAGAGAGAGAGAAACATCAATGCGAGAGAGCACATCAACTGGTTGCCACCAACACAACCCCAACTGGGGCTGGGACAAACTGCAACCAAGGTACGTGCCCTTAGTGGGAACCGAACCTGGGTCTCTCTAGTCCCCTTAGTCAGAACCGAACCTGGGTCTCTCTGGTCCATGGGCCAATGCTCTAACCGCTGAGCCAAACTGGCCAGGGCCCACATTTCATTCTTAAGCCTGCTTATTTTGTGCATCTCTTTGGTGACTGTCTCCCCCATTACATTAAGCTCCACGACAGCACAATGGCGTTGTTAAACTCCTCCCACTACCTGCTACACCCTTAGGTGCTTACGTATTTGTTGCTTTAAAGTTAAATAAAGGGTCCTGGCCGGTTTGGCTCAGCAGTTAGAGCATCGGACCAGAGAGTCCTGGGTTCGGTTCCTGCTAAGGGCACATACCTCAGTTGCAGTTTGTCCCCAGCCCCGGTTGTGATTGTGTGGGAGGCAACTAGTCCATGTGTGTCTCTCTCTCATATATCGATGTTTCTCTCTCTCCCCTACCCTCTCCCTCCCGCTCTATCTGAGCCTCTCTATCTGAAGATAAATGCAAAAGTGTCCTCCGGTGAGGATAAAAAAATAATAATAATAAAAATAAATAAATAAATAAATAAATAAATAAATAAATAAATAATAGTCCAGCCAGTGTGGCTCAGAGGTTGAGCATCGACCAATGCACCAAGAGGTTTCTGATTTGATTCCCAGTCAGGGCACATGCCCAGGTTGTGGGTCAAATTCCAAGTGGGGGGGGGGTATGCAGGAGGTGGCCAATCAATGTTCTCTCTCATCAATGTTTCTATCGCTCTCTCCCTCTCTAAAATCAATAAAGGAAAAAAATATTTAAAAAATAATAAATTAAATTAAATAAATGGAATGAACAACAGATGAACGTGGGAATGGGAGGAGAGTGAAAAGGAAAAACTAGGATATACCTAACTGAATCCATGTCTAATTCACACTTTCTTGCTTCTCTGCTGTAGATTTGAAGGTATACAGACTACCCTGGGTTTCCATCATCTCTGGAAGACTCTTATTGTCAACCCTAATATTAAACACCTGAACCTGGGCAGCATTCACCTGAAGGAGGAAGATGTAGGGATAGCCTGTGAAGCGTTGAAACACCCTCACTGTGTGCTGGATTCTTTGAGGTATGTCCTGGGTACAATTTTCTTTATAATTCTCACACAAGTATATGTTTAGAGAGAGGAAGGTGGGGAGAGAAGCATTGATATGAGAGAAAAAATCGATCAGTTGCCTCTCACACATGCCCCAGATGGGAGATCGAACCCACAACCCAGGTATGTGCCCTGACCAAGAGTCAAACCTGCAACCCTTTAGTGCATAGGATGACGCTCCAACTCACTGAGCCACATGCCAGGTGGTTTTTGCTGTTTTTGATTGTAGAGTTTTAGGGTTGTGTTGCTTTTCTCCTTATCTTGAAATAATTATTCCTGGCAAGTTGCAAAAATATTGCAGGGTTGGAAGGATGACAAAGTCCGGAGATGGACGGTACAGCAATGTGATTGGACTTAATGTCGCTCAACTGTGCACTTAAAAATGGTTAAGATGATACATTTTATGTTGTATGTTTTCCCACAATGCTAAAGTAACTTTCGCCCTGGCCAGTTTTGCTCAGCGGTTAGAGCGTCGGCCTGCGGTCCAGAGAGACCCGGGTTTGGTTCCCGCTAAGGGTACATACCTTGATTGCAGTTTGTCCCCAGCCCTGGTTGGGTTGTGCAGGTGGCAGCCACTCGATGTGCCCCTTTCACATTGATGTTTCTCTCTCTCTCTCTCCCTCCCACTCTATCTGAACAAAAAATAGAAAAATGTCCTCAGGTGAGGATTAAAAAATAAAGATATAAATAAAGTAACTTTCAATGTTTCATAAAGTTAAAAAAAGGGGGGGAGGTCACATTTACCCTCCAGCCAGTTTCTGTGTCTTACTAACTATTGTGTGATGTCAAAAGCAGGACATCCACAATGCGTGTTTGTCATTCTAGCCCATAAAATGTCAGCGTGTGCTCATTCCTAAAGCCACACGTGCAACCAAGCTACACCAGGGCCATCCCTCACCCCCACCCTCAAGTGTTACAGCCACACCCCTCCCCACCCCCACCACCCTGCAAATAACACATGTTTTCCATCTCTATAGCTCTGACATTTTGACAGCGCTCTATATGGAATCCTAAGCGTGTCACCACCTGACCCAGTAGGTTCCAAACTCTCCCTTTCACATTCTCCCAGCTAGAATTAGTCAAGTGACTGCATGCGCTGCAAGGCAGGCTGGGAAATGTAGTCCAGCTCTTCCTGTGACCGCACCCTCTGCAAGGCAGGCTGGGAAATGTAGTCCAGCTCTGCATCCACATGGAAGCAGTAACAACTGCTGTGGCAGAGACCTAGCTCACGTAATTATTCAGCCACAGAAGGAAGGAAATCCTGGGTGGACGTAAAAGGCATCGCTCAATAAGTAAACTTGTATTTTCTTCAATGCAAAAAAAAAAAAAAATGCGTTGCCCAAGCTAGTGTTGCTCAGTGGTTAGAGCGTCAGCGTATGCACTAAAGGGTCTCGGGTTCGATTCCCAGTCCTGGGTTGCAGGTTCGGTCCCCAGCCCCGGTTGGTCAGGGCACGTGCAGGAGGCGACCGATAATGTCTCTCACCTCTCTCTCTCTCCCTCTTCCTCTCTCTCCCCCTCTCCCCCCTTTCCTCCCTCCCCTCCATCCTTTCTCTAAAAATTCATGGGAAAAAATATCCTCTGGTGAGGATTAACAACAGCAGTGCATCTAGAAATATTTGGCATGGTTGCTGGTGATCTCTGTGAATGAAATAATGTTGGAGCGAAATGGGTGGGGTGGGGTGGGGTGGGGTGGGGTGGGCTGGTTTAATATAGAGAGACAGGCTTACTGGGAAGAGGTAACGGTTAGGACACCTGAGCAATAACTTGAGCTGCGTGAAGACCTGGGGATGTTGCGAACAGAGGGGCAGATGCTCAGACTCTGAGGCCACAGCAAACTGTGTGCGGGAACCAGCCGAGCCGCCAAGACGCTGGCGCGTGGTGAGCAGGGGAAGCTGGGTTGCCTCTGGGAACAGATTGGGGGTGTGTTTCACATTGCCTGTGTCTGCAGGTTGGATCACTGTGGGCTAACCCACACCTGTTGTCGTGGGATCTCCCAAATCCTCATGACATCCAAAAGCCTGAAATCTCTGAGCCTCGCGAGAAATAAGGTGACAGACCGGGGCATCGTGCCTCTCCGTGAGGCCTTGACGGTCTCGCGGTGCAACCTGCAGAAGCTGATGTGAGTGGCGCTTCCTTTCGCGGCGGGTTATCTTGCCTTAACTGAGGTCTTAACTGAGACCACCCCCCGAAATGGAGGGGGGCGGGGGGAATTGGCCGACGCGTGAGCCAAGGGTAAGAATGGGAGCTGGGACCTCATGGGGGTGCTCCAATGTTGAGGTTTGATAAAGACCCGATAAATAACACCCGAGTCTTTGCTGACAAACTGAGGTGACATAAAAGATTGAGCAGAGCCCTGGCTGGTTTGGCTCAGCGGGTAGAGCGTCGGCCTGAGCTCCAGAGAGACCCGGGTTCGGTTCCCGCTAAGGGCACGTACCTCGGTGGCAGTTTGTTCCCCGGCCCTGGTCGGTCGTGTGGGTGGCAACCACTCGATGTGTCCCTTTCACATCGATGTTTCTCTCTCTCTCCCACTCTATCTGAACAAAATATGGAAAATGTCCTCGGGTGAGGATAAAAACAAAAACAAGAAATATGAAACGAAGCCAAAGTCCTGTAGAATCAGAACAGATGGTGGTTACCAGGGACTGGGGATGGGGGCGGGGGAGAGGCGGGGACATGGGAAGATGTCAATCAAAGAGCACAAACTCCCAGGGGTAAGATGAGTAAGTTCTAGGGGTCTGATGCTCAGTGTGGAGACAAGAGTTAACGCTGTGTTGTGCACCGAAAAGTTTCACACATGCTGTGATCCCAGGGAGCCAGGGACCTGTGGTCAGGGCTGCCGCTTGGGCTAAGTGTTCCGGCCCCATTGACACGGTCTTCAGACAACCTACCCTGGTCGGAATTGTTTTCATGCCATTCGCTGACAAAGGAAGCCGACTCCTGCAGAACAAGGGAGGTCTCTTGTCTAAGGTCACACGGGGAGTGAAAGGCACAGCCAAAGTGAGCTACTGGCTCTTGGGTTGAGCGGCGACCCCTGCACCAGGAGATCCCCAGTTCGATTCCCGGTCAGGGCACATGCCCAGGTTGTGGGCTTGATCCTCAGTGTGGGGCTTGCAGGAGGCGGCCCATCAGTGTTCTCTCATCGGTGTTTCTATCTCTCTCTCCTTCTCCTTTCCTCTCTCTCTCTAACATGGATAAGAAAGAAAGAAAACTGTTCTATTACCTGGGGATGTCCTCTAACCTGGGAGGGTTGTTTCTCCCTACCACTTCCAAAGCCTCGGCCATGCCATTCCTCCTACAGTGGGAGTTTGGTCCTAAAGCCAAAGCAAAAATTGAAAACCAAGTATCACAAACCACCCTTTGTAGAAGGTAATAGTAGAAGCAAGATACCTTCTCTCCATTAGTCTATAGGAGAGGACAAAACACACACACACACACACACACACACACATACTCTTTTTTGTTTTTTAAATCCTCACCAGAGGATTTATCTTCAGATAGAGTGTGAGGGAGAGAGAGACAAATATCGACATGAGAGGAACACATCGATAAACACTTTTAATCTACTCTTAGGTTCAACATCTGGGGCTGACAAATTAAACTGACAACAGACAAATGAACAAGAGAAAGGCATCAAAATTTTATCAACATTAACTTTTAAATATGTTTTGATTTTTATTTTTAATCCAAAGAGAAAGATAGAAACATCAATGTGAGAGAGAACCATTGATGGGCTGCCTCCTGCACGCCCCCTACTGGGGATCCAGCCTGAAACCTGGGCATGTGCCCTGACCAGGAATCAAACCCAAACTTCTCAGTCCCTGGGATGACACTCCGTCCACTGAGCCACACTAGCCGCGCAATCGATGTTAATTTTTTAAGTATGTGCGGACTTCTCAAATAGAAAGTGAGAAACCCAGAGAAGTGAGAGTCAGAAGCTTATATACCATTTTAACAAAGAGCAATAAATTGTGAAGCAGTAACTAGACAAAGGAAAAGGGGTTTGGGCTTCTAGGACTGATAAATTGTGGGATGACTAGGAAGAACAGGGATGTGGGAAATATTGGTAGATAAGGGTTATATGAAGACTCATCTCCATCGCTGGTGATAAAGGTCACCTACGTAAGGGAAATTTATGCCCTGCTTTTAAGCAGATGGCGGGAAGGGGCAGAGAGCTCTTTCTGTGTCTATTTTTTCTCAATTGCCATGAGCTCAAAATAACCCGAAAGTGGCATATTTGGAATGACATATCCTGGTCCCCTTTATTTATTTTTATTTATTTTTTATTATTTTGGTGGTACGTGCCCCTAGCAGGAACCGAACCTGGGACACTCTGGTCCACAGGGCGGCGCTCAACTGTTGAGCCAAACTGGTCCCCTTTAAGTCCTGGTCCCCTTTAAATCCAAGCCAACCAGTATTTATTTATAGAAAGAGATCACCATGAATAATACAGAGTAAGGCCCTGGCCGGTTTGGCTCAGAGGTTGGAGCGTCGGCCTTCAGATCAGAGAGTCTCGGGTTCGGCCCCTGCTAGGGGCATGTACCAAAAAAATAATAATACAGAATGTTTGCTGTAAACATATTAGATGCGTTCATTTATTTCACTTTGTCAACCCCATTAAAGAGAGACTATTAAACCCTGACTTTCAAGTCTGATTGCTTTTTAAGCTTCAAGAATCAGATGGACTATGATCTCGTTTACTTCTAAGGGTCATGATGTAGGTACTTCTGTTGTCTGTGTCCATGAGTTTTCCTCTTTTTTTGTTCAGTGTCTCCACTTCCTAACCCAGCCCCCCAACCCCCCACCTCTGACAGCTATCAGCCTGCTCTCCATCTATGAGTCTGTCTGTTTTGCTTGTCAGTTCATTTTGTTCATTAGATTCCACCTATGAGCGAGATCCTATGATACTTGTCTTTCTCTGACTGGCTTCTTTCACTTAGCATAATGTTCTCCAGGTCCATCTAGGCCGTTACAAAGGGTAAGATTTCCTTTTTTATGGCCAAGTAGTATTTTATTGTGCAAATGTACCACGGGGCAGGGGGGAGTTGATGAGGGGATGGGGGGATAAACAGTGATGAAAGGAGATTTGACTTGGGGTGGTGAACACACAATACAATATACAGATGATGTATTATGGAGTTGTACACCTGATTCCTGTATGATTTTATTAACCAGTGTCACCCCAATAGATTCATATAAAGGAAAAAACATAGGTACTTCTAAATAGGAAGGTCGCTTGTCTTGGTCAAAACCTCACCCCATAGTGCATGTGGGGGCAGAAATGACCAGACGAGCGGGCAGATTCATGTGGCCTGTGTCTTCCATTGCAGACGCACAGATCTGTTCACCCATGACACTTCGTTATTGTCGGATTAAAGCATTGGGGCTGAGCGTGTAAGATACATGCAGACACAGTGTGACGTCAACATTACCTGTGAGGGCAGCAGCCTGGGGGTGACGCTTCTGTCCCTTCCTTGCAAGGGACGGGGATGTGCAACGTTCAGACCTCACCGTTCCTTTTCTGGGTTGTCTTCTCGCAGACTGGGGAGCTGTGGCCTCACCGCTGCCGCCTGCCAGGACCTGGCCTCGGTCCTCATCAGCAATAAGAGCTTGACCCACCTGGACCTGTCCAGCAACAACCTGGGGACAGAAGGTGTGACCGTGCTGTGTCGAGCCTTAAAGCTTTCCACCTGTGCTCTGCAGAGGCTGATGTGAGTCCAACTCGCCTCCCTGTGAGGACTTGGTAGCTTTGTGACAAATGGCGTGTGCCTGTCTCAGAGTAGGGAGAGTGGGCATGTCAGGAGGTGGCACCTGCCATGTGCCCTCCCTACAAATCCCCTCCTAGACTTTACACTCCCTTGGAAAATTCTCTCTCCCTTTGCATTGCCTTTTTTTTTTTTTTTAATTTATTTATTGATTTTTAGAGAGAGAAGGGAGAGAAACATTTATTTATTGTTCCACTTATTTATGTATTTATTGGTTGATTCCTGTATGTGCCCTGAGTGGGGATTGAACCTGCAACCTTGGCCTATCGGGATGATGCTCTAACCCACTAAGCTGCCCACCCAGGGCCATCTGCATTTTCTTGTGGCAGGATGTTGTTTTTTTGTGTGTTTTTTTGTTTTCTTTTTTATTTTTTTAAAATCTTTATTGTTGGATGTAAAATGTATTACAGATGTTCCACATTTTTCCCCCATTGACCCCCTCCTCCCCACTCCTGCCCCCCTCCCTCCTTTTCCCACACTATTGTCTGTGTCCATTGGTCATGCATATAAGTTCTTTGGTTTATTTCTTCCACCCCCCAACCCCTTTCCCTTTGAGGTTTGTCAGTCTAGCAATGAATTTGTACTTCTTAATCTCTTCACATTTTTCACCCATTCCCCCAACCCCCCTCCCAACTGGCAACCAACAAAATGTTCTCTGTATCTATGAGAATATTTCTGTTCTACCTGTTCATTTAGTTTGTAGATTCCATTGTTGATAGATATGTATTCATTGCCATTTTGTTTGTTCATATATTTTATCTTTTTCTTCAAAAAGACCCTTCATTATTTCATATAATAACAGTTTGGTGCTGATGAACTCCTTTAACTTTTTCTTGTCTGGGAAAGTTTTTATATGTCCATCGATTCTAAATGACAGCTTTGCAGGATAGAGTAATCTTGGTTGTAGGTTCTTGCTTTTCATCACTCTGAATATTTCTTGCCACTCCCTTCTGGCCTGCAAAGTTTCTTTTGAGAAATCAGCTGACAGTCTTGTGGGAACTCCCTTGTAGGTAACTAGCAGCCTTTCTCTTGCTGCTTTTAAGATTCTCTTTGTCTTAAACCTTTTGCATTTTGATGATGATGTGTCTTGGTGTGGGCCTCTTGGGGTTCATCTTGTTTGGGACTCTCTGTGCTTCCTGGACTTGTATGTCTGTTTCCTTCAAGTTAGGAAAGTTTTCTGCCATTATTGTTTCAAAGAGGTTTTCGATTTCTTGTTCTCACTCTTCTCCTTCTGGCACCCCCAAGATGCGAATGTTGGCATGCTTGAAGTTGTCCCAGAGGCTCCTTACACTGTCCTCATTGTTTTGGATTCTTTTTTCTTTTTGCTGTTCTGATTGGGCATTTTTTGCTTCCTTATATTCCAAATCGATGGTTTGCTCCTTGGATTTACGTACTCTATTATTGAAGCTGTGTAAATTATTCTTTATTTCAGTTAATGCCTCCTTCAATTCTAACTGTGTATCCATGATTTCTGACTGGTCCTTTTTTATGCTCTTGAGGCCCTCCCAGAGTTCACTGAGGTTCTCACTAAGTTCATTGAGCATCCTTATAAGCAGTATTTTGAACTCAGCATCTGTTAGGTTGCTTATCTCCATTTCGCTTAGTTCTTTTCCTAGGGTTTTGTTCTGTTCTTTCATTTGGGACCTGTTTCTTTGTCTCCTCATTTTGGCTGCCTTCCTGTGTTTGTTTCAGTGTATTACTTAATGAGAGGTATGGTGCTAGCTGAGACCAGATGCTGCTCGTTTGAAAGAATTTAGGCCCTGGCCGGTTTGGCTCAGTGGTTAGAGCGCCGGCCTGCGGTTCTGGGAGACCCGGGTTCGGTTCCCGCTAAGGGTGCGTACCTCTGCTGCAGTTTGTCCCCGGCCCTGGTCGGTTGTGCGGCCCTGGTCGGTTGTGCGGGTGGCAGCCACTCGATGTGTTCCTTATACATCGATGTTTCTCTCTCTCTCTCTGTTCCTCTCTCTCCCTCCCACTCTACCTGAACAAAAAATGGAAAATGTCCTCGGGTGAGGATAAAAAAAAAAAAGAAAAAGAATTTAGGAAAAACCTGAAGCAGGATCCAAGACAGGCCAATTCTATGGTTAAGCAAGTGGCAACAGCTTGGGTGGGCTTGAAAGTTGTGTGGGGCGGGGCGGGGCCTCAGGGAGTCAGTGGGGCGGGGCGGGGCCTCAGGGAGTCAGTGGGGCGGGGCGGGGCCTCAGGGAGTCAGTGGGGCGGGGCGGGGCCTCAGGGAGTCAGTGGGGCGGGGCGGGGCCTCAGGGAGTCAGTGGGGCGGGGCGGGGCCTCAGGGAGTCAGTGGGGCGGGGCGGGGCCTCAGGGAGTCAGTGGGGCGGGGCGGGGCCTCAGGGAGTCAGTGGGGCGGGGCGGGGCCTCAGGGAGTCAGTGGGGCGGGGCGGGGCCTCAGGGAGTCAGTGGGGCAGGGCGGGGCCTCAGGGAGTCAGCGGGGCGGGGCTGCCAGTGTGAACCAGGTTGCTGGAGTCCCAGATATGGCGGCTATGTGCCGCCCGCGGGAAGGGCTCACCAAAGGAACAAAGGCATCTTACAGCCTTTGTTTGTCCCGGAGAAAGTCCCCTCTCCAGCCCTCGCTCCAGTGCCAAACAGCTCAGTTCTTCCCTGTATGTCTCTGGTGCCCCTCGAGCTGCCTCCCCTCCAAGCTTAGAGGGAGAGAGCTTGATAAGCCCGTGCGCGGGCCCTTTAGGGAGCTGCCTGGGGCTCCAGCCGCTTCAGCTTCCCTGAGCCTCAGTTCCCGCTGGTTTTTCCAGCCAGAAGTTATGGGGACTTCTCTTCCTGGCACTGGAACCCTGAGCGGGGCACCTGGTGTGGGACGGGGACCCCTCAGTCCTCAGGAAGGACCTTCCCAGCCGAGGTATCCTCCTGATTTTTATCTGCCGTAGTGGGTGTGGGACCAGCCCTTCGCGCCGCTGCCGCCGCCCTGCCCCTCACGCCTTCACCCCTCTAGGATGTTGTTGTTCATCCAAACACAGACGAGTCCCACTCTTTGCCATGTGCATGTTCCATAAAGTCACAGAAAATGCCGAGTTGGTGATACCAAGCCAGGATCCCCGGGGAAACACGGGGCGAGGTTCCTATAGCCTCAGTGACAACATTTTCATCAATGGATCCACACCTAACCTTGTTGCGAGTGGTTCTGGTGAAACACACCGTATCTAATCCACATTGCTGGTTTGTTAGTATTGAACTCGTGGCCCACAGCACCGTGACTCATGCTGGAACGAAGCCTTTGCAACACACGTTTTCCCTCTGTAAACCACATCTGTGTTCTTGTGCTTAGCACACTAGACCACACTTCGACTCTGCATCTTCTTTAAATTTTTTCATTGATTGCAGAGAATGAGGAAAGGGGAAGAGAGAGCACACGCGAGAAGGGGAAAGAATATCAATGTGAGAGAGGAACATTGATCAGTTGCCTCCCATACGCACCCTGACCGGGGATCAAATCCGAAACCTAGGGATGTAGGAAATCAAACTCACAACACTTTTGGTGTAATGGGACGATGATCCAATCCACTGGGAAACCCAGCCAGGGTGAGCATGAGGGGTTTTTTTTGTTTTGTTTTGTTTTTATCCTCACCTCCTCACCTGAGGACTTTTTTTTTTTTTTTTTTTTGCATGTATCTTCAAATAGAGCAGGAGGGAGAAAGGGAGGAAGAAAGACAGAGAAACATCGATGCGAGAGAGACACATCAAGTGGTTGCCACCCACATGACCCCAACCAGGGCCGGAAACAAACCTCAACTGAGGTACGTGCCCTTAACGGGAACCGAACCCATATCTCCCATCCATGGGCCAATGCTCTAACTGCTGAGCCAAACGGCCAGGGTATGAGCATGAGTTTTTGTCAGTTTTCCGCACTGTCAACTTGCCCCATAGAATCACTGTGCTTTCTGTCATTCCATCCTGCTGACCAATGAGTCCACGGATAACGCCATGGGAGTGAAAAATATACCTGAGTTGATGGTAGACTGACAGCCAGAAATGCTGCTGAAGAATAGAACTTGAATGCATTTGTCTACCTTGTGGTGCATCTTAAGGGCCGCCAGGGACTAAGGGATGGAGACATCCTGAGTATGGGAGGTGGGATGATAGAATGATGACCCCCCTCAAAGATGTCATGTCCTAATCTTTGGAACCTCTGATTATTAGACCTTCCATGGCAAAAGGGACTTTGCAGATGTGATGGAGGATGTTGAGATGGGGAGGGGACCCTCGGTCATCTGAATGGCCTTAGCAGCATCACCAGGGTTTTCAGAAGGGAATGAAGGAGGCAGGGGATTTAGAGGAGATTTGATAATGAGGTCAAATGGATAATGTTGCTGGCTGGGGACAAGGGGCAGCCTGCAAACGCTGAGAAAGGCAGAAAATAGTTCTCCCATGGAGTCTCCAGAAGGAACAGGTCCCCCTGACAGTGAGACTCTGGCCTCCAGAGCTGCAGGATACCATGTGTGGCTTAAGGCACTACATCTGTAGTTTGTTATAGCAGCAACCAGCAACTAATACATCGAGTCAGGAAGTTAAAAGACAGAGTCATAGCATCCAGCACATGTATCAGGCATTGTGCCGAGAACTTCAAGGTCATCCCTCATGTACACATAACAACCTTCTTAGATCTGAGCATAATCCCCGCCTGAAGGAGGGGCAAGCTGGGGCTGAGAGAAGTGTCTGACCCAAGGTGACACCGAGTCAGGAGTGTGACCAGCCTCTTCCATGTACCCCACAGACTAAGAGAATGCCACCTGGATGTCGTTTCCTGCGGCTTCCTTGCACTTGGACTCATGAGCAACCGGCATCTGACGCATCTGAGCCTTAGCATGAACCCCTTAGGAGATGATGGCCTGAACCTTCTGTGCGAGGTCATGACAGAAACATCTTGTCACCTCCAGGACCTAGAGTAAGTTCCTCATGGTTGGGGGGTCACCTCTACCAGAGTGGGGGCTGAGGTTCATAGAAGGTCAAGAGACATGAGTTAGGGGCACTGGAACCCAAAGTTAGCTCCATGGACATTGTAGGTACATTGATGTGGTTGGCATTGTAGTCAGTGCGGGAAGGGTCAGAAATTGTTCTGAACAAGAGCTGTATGGCAGGATCCATGGAGTTCTAGGTCAGTGTAAGTCTCCCAGACCTTCTCAGGACACATTCTGTTGCCCCAAATTAATCCTTAACTCTTTTTTTTTTTTTAACTGATCTGAGAAAAAGAGATTTACTTTGTTGTTCCACTTTTGTATGCATTCATTGGTTGCTTCTTGTGTGTGCCCTGACTGGGGATCGAACCCTAAACCTTGGTATATCAGGACAGCACTTGAACCAACTGAGCTACCTGGCCAGGTTGAATCAAGCCCTAATTCTATGGAGTCTAGAAAGCTAAGTTTAGTCCTTGGAGATGCCATTTCTTTGGGGTTGCATTGAAGTGCTCAGATTATTGGGTCCTCGCCATCATCACTTACTCATGCTGGCATCAAAGACTTGGTCACTCTCACCTGATCTACTGGTGTGAGCCCTCACCTGGGTCCTTCCTGGTCTTTGACGTGAATGCCTCATGAAGACCACTCTCCTGTCCCCAGTGGGATCCTTCTATCCTCAGCGTACTAACCTGAAGACATAAGACTCTAACACTGTTACGTCATCTCTTCTCCAATGCATTGCCCAGTCATTACAGCAGGGCCATTTCCACCCACCCTCCCCAGCTCTTCCCAGAAACAGAAGCACAAGACCCCCCTCTCTGTTTGGGTCCCAATTCCTACCTAGTGGTTCAGTAACTTCTGTCATCTTTTCTCTCCCTCTCAGGGGCCATACTGACTCCTCACCCGTGTTTTTTCTGTCTCCCTTCCTGTACCATGGAGAACTTCTGTCTTAGCTCCAAGTGGGAAGCAAGATGATGTGCTCAATTCTTTTTACAATGATACCTCCAGTCCCAGGAAACACTTTCCCTATGCTCCATTATCATCTCTCCCGAGCCAAAGGATGTCCCGCCATGCACAAGGATGGACAGAAAGGAGACCAGTTAGGAGGAAAAAAGGAAATTCCCACTAACATTTCTGACCATTATCCCACTGTAGCTCTGTTCTCAAGAGGTGTGGATAATCCCTCTCTTCTCCTCTTCCTCTCGTCCCCTCTTCCTCTCTCTCTCTATCTCTATATACTTCTCTATCTCTATATCTCCCTCTTCCTCTCTCCTTTTACAGGTTGGTGAAATGTCACCTCACTGCTGCCTGCTGCAAGAACTTGTCCTCTGCAATGACAAGAAGCAAACACCTGAGGAGCCTTGACCTCGCTGTCAATGCCCTCGGTGATGGTGGAATGGCAGCCCTGTGTGAGGGACTGAAGCAAAGGACAACTGCTCTGAGGAGACTTGGGTGAGTTCCTGGGGTCACCTCTTTGAGGGCTGGGTGCAGAAGAAGGGGAACCCAAGCATGAAGTTGCTTCAGCAAAGACCACGTTCTGACTTTCACGAATATATTAAATTAGACAGAATACGACCTTGGCAGAGGAACAGCCAAGGTATCATTCCAGCTGGGCTCCAATATGTGGAATGAGTGAAATGGCAGATGCTCGAGAGCATTGTCTGGAAGTAGTAGGCACTCAGTAAGTGTTTATCGAACAAGCTGTGTGTGCTGGGCATGGTGCCAAGTGGTGGCAGTACCAAGGTGGTTAGGTCTTAGCATTGCAGAATAGATAGACTAATGAGAAGGATGGACCCACGACATTAGTGGTTCTCTAACTTTAGTGTGAGCATCAGAATCACCCAGGAGGCTTGTTAAAATGGTGCCAACACACCCAGTGGAATATTACTCAACCATTAAAAAGGAATGAAGTACTAAAAGACATTACAACATGGATAGAACTTGAAAACATGAGGCTGAGTAATAGGCCAGTCACCAAAGGCCATATGTTGTATCATCTCATGTGTATGAAATGTTCAGAGTGGGCAAATCCATGGAGACAGGGACTTGAGGGTCTGCTTAATGGATACAGATTTCCTTTGGAGAGGGAGAAAAACATGAAATGAGATGGATGTGGTGGTTGCAGGATATTGCAATCTACCCTAAAATGTGATATTTGCCACCATTTCTTGAGCACCAACCATGTACTGTCATACCCACGTGACACTGGAGTGAAGGGTAATAGTTCTATTTTGGGGAGAAGGGGGGCTTAATTGGAATACCTGTTTTCTTCTCTAAACCACACGCCATTCTTCAGGCTCTTCATCACTTCCATTGTGTCTCCACCTCTCTCTGCGGTCACATCCAGTCTCCACCTATCTTTCTAGCCCTCTTACCTTCCATGTTCTGTAGTCACCACTCCTTGGCTGCAGCTCCAAGCTCTTACAAATGTAGGTCTGCAGCTGAGAACTGCAGGACCAACAGCAACAACAACAACAAAATAAGACCAACAAGGGCATGTTGGCTTCAGTGCAGTCAGGGGTTGATGTAAATTCCTTACTTCCCAGTGTGTGGCTTCCCAGTATTTGCTTTCTCTGTTCCCTGAAACAATGACTTCAAATTAACTGCATTCTCTCAAACTCTTGAACCTACCTTGTCCTTCCTGGCCTTAAGAGATGAGCTCACCCCTTTCAAATCAATAGAAGACCATTGTGTAGGAAAGTCCTAGATGTTCTCCCAGGAAACCAGTTAATATCTATATCCTTCTTTTCTGTCCTTCTTTTCAAAACAGGGAAGGAAGTATGTTTGCCACAACCGCAAGTTAGGGTCACCCATGTTGGGGACCCCATAGTCATCTGTCTCTTCCCCAACCCTATCAGCTGCCCTACTGGAGATTTTCTGGATATATATATTTTTTAATTGAATGTATTGGGGTGACATTGGTTAATAAAACTATAGATTTCAGGTATACAATTCCATAATACATCATCTGTATATCGTATTGTGTGTTCATCACCCCAAGTCATGTCTCTTTTCATCACCATTTTTTTTTTTATCCTCACCCAAGGACATTTTATTTTATTATTTTATTTTATTATTATTTTTGCATTTATCTTCAGATAGAGTGGGAGGGGGAGAGGGGAGAAAAAAGAGAGAGAAAGACTGATGTGAGAGAGACACATCAACTGGTTGCTACCTGCATGACCCCAACCGGCGCTGTGGACAAACGGCAACCGAGGTATGTGCCCTTAGCGGTACCAGAACCTAGGACTCTCCGGTCTGCAGGCCGATGCTCTAACCACTGCGCAAAACTGGCCAGGGCTCTTTTCATCACCATTTATCTCCCTTTACCCTCTTCTACTTCTCCCCACCCCCATTTCCCTCCAGCAATGACCATACTGTTGTCTGTGAGGGTTTTTTGGACTCAATCCCTTCACCTTTTTCACCTAGCCCCCCTACTCCCTTGAGATTTTGTTTTCGTAAGCGCTTAAATATTATTGTAGAAGCATACCTAATCATAACAATAAGCCTTCCTTCAATCCTATCTCAGCGTCTAGCTGGAGGCAGCTAACACTACTTGAGCTACGCCCACAGGAATTCCCAAATACACAAAATCTATGATTAGGACATCTACAACTTATATACCCACCAGCTAGTTTAAACTATTTATCCATCTGGTGAACTATTTCACAAATTACTATTGACACTACTACAGACATCCCCATTTCACCCCCTTTGCCTGCCTCCAACAAGCCCTGCTCCCCCTTCCCTCTGGCTATCAACACACTGTTGTCTGTGTCCATGGGCTGTGCATATATATTCTTTGGCTAATCCCTTCACCTTTCATCCAGTCCCCCTCCCTCTAACCTCTGTCAGTCAGTCTGTTCCATATATCCATGCCTCTGGTTCTATTTTGTTCACCAGTTTATTTTATTCATTAGATTCCAGATATAAATGAGATCTTATGGCATTTGTCTTTTTCTGACTGGCTTATTTCACTTAGCATAATGCTATCTGGGTCCATCCATGCTGTCAACAAGGGTAAGAGATCCTTCTTTTTTCACAGCTGCCTAGTATTCCACTGTGTAAATGTACCACAGCTTTTCTATCCACTCCTCTACCGATGGGCACTTGGGCTGTTGCCAGATCTTGCCTATTGTCAACACTGCTGTGAACATAGGGGTACATGTATTCTATTGAATTCATGTTTTGTAATTCTTAGGAGTGACATGCCACCCCTGTGTGCCCCAATGTGCATCTCTAAAATATAAGAATCCTGCTGCAATACCATTATCACACCTAACCATGTTCTTTGGTTTTTCATTGCTCTTAGGATAAAATCCTAAATCCTTAACATGACCTGCAGTGTGCAGCCTCATCTCACATCACTGTGTCCCACCTGCTCTGGACATCTAGCAGAACTTCCTGTCACAGATACGCCCACTTCCTCCTTCTGCAAGGACGGTGGGAACGTCATGTCCTTAAGCACATCACTGCTTCCTGTCGCCACTCACTCAGCTAACTTCTTCTCATCTTTTGAGTTTTAGGAGAAAAGTCCCTTTCTCAGTCATGTCCTTCTCCATGTTTCTTGTTTTGTTTCCTAGTTAAGGACTCTCTCAGCCTTGACTTTCCATTTGCACAACTATGAGCCATCCAGCTTTCTCAACGTGAGAACCAGAAACGGCATCTGGAATTTCACTAGAAATGTCCATTTGCCCTGACCGAGTAGCTCAGTGGGTTAGAACATTGTCCCCATATGCCAAGGTTGCAGGTTCGATCCCTGGTCAGGACACATGCAAAAAGCAACCAATGAATGCATAAATAAGTAGAACAACAAATCGATGTTCTCTCTCTCTCCCCCCCTTCTGCCCTTCCCTTGTCCTCTCTAAAATCAATTAATGTGTGTATATTTGTGTGAATATGCACATTTTGAGCCCTTTCCCAGAACTACTGAACCAACTACTCTAGGAGTGACGCCCATTGCTTGTTTTTCTTTTTTTGATCTTGAAAATGGAAGTCAAATGGGTTGAAGGAAGAAGAACCACTTGCTAACCTTTGGGTTTCCTGGCCCTGCAGGTTGGAGGCGTGTGAATTGACGTCTGACTGCTGTGAGGTCCTCTCCTCAGCTCTCTCCTGCAACCAGTACCTGAGCAGCCTTAACCTAATGGGGAATAACTTCAGCCCCAAAGGAATAATGAAGCTGTGCACAGCCTTCATGCATCCCACCTCTAAACTGCGAGTTATTGGGTGAGTCCCTGGCAGTTGTCTTCTGAGATACAAACCTTTTCTTGCAGACATGCTAGTTGGCAGAGAAGGGGTTTATCAGAGAAGGGGAGATCATGACTAAGAGACCAAAACTTTATGCAACACTAATGTCCACTGTGTTTTGGGCACTGTGCCGGGTTCTAGGGATCCAGGGATGTGGGAGATAGGAAAAAAGTGCCGATATCATGGGGCTTAAACTTTGGGGTGGGTTTGGGAAGAGTGGAAAGACAAGGTACAGGTGAAATGTTTGTCCTCAAAAAAACTAAAACTAGGATTGCTATCTGAGCCAACAATTCCATTTCTTGGTATATAACCAAAAGTATTAGAAGTAGGGTCTCACAGCCCTGGCCAGTTTGGCTCAGCAGTTAGAGTGTCGGCCTGCAGTCTAGAGAAACCCAGGTTCGGTTCCCGCTAAGGGCACATACCTCAGTTGCAGTTTGTCCCCAGCCCTGGTTGGTCGTGAGGGTGGCAGCCACTCGATGTGTCCCTTTCACATCGATGTTTCTCTCTCTCTTCCTCTCTCTCTCTTCCTCTCTCTCTCTTCCTCTCTCTCTCTTCCTCTCTCTCCCTTCCTCTCTCTCCCTTCCTCTCTCTCCCTTCCTCTCTCTCCCTCCCACTCTATCTGAGCAAAAAAATGGAAAAATGTCCTCGAGTGAGGATAAAAAAAAAAAAAGTAGGGTCTCAAAAAGAGCTATCTGTACACCTATGTTCACAGCAGTGTTATTCACAATAGCCAAGAGGTGAAAGCATCTCTAGGGTCCATTGACAGGCAAATGGATAAACAAGATAGGGTGCATCCATCCAGTGGAATGTTATACAGCCTTGAAAAGGGAGGTCTGACATATGCTACAACATGGCTGAACCTTAGGAACATTAAACCGAGTAAAATAAGCCAGACACAAAAAGACAAAACTGCATAATTCTACTTGGGTGAGGTACCTAGACTGATCAAATACAAGACAAAGTAGAATGGTGGGCGCCATGGGCTAGGAAGAAGAAGAAATTGTTTATTGGACATACAGTTTTAGTTGGGGAAGAGGAAAAGAATTATGGGCATGGTGATGGTTGCACAACAATATGAATGTACTTGATGCCACCAAATTGTATGTCAAAAAGTGATTAAGATGGGTATGTCCTTGAGGTTGATTGTGATGTCTTTATATCAAGAGCAAACCACCTCCTGGGGGAACCTCTTCTCCTGTGTGGCCCAGCTTACAGATTTATCCAGGGGTCAGGTTTTGGCAGACGGATGTACCGAGAGGCCCACAAGAGTGGTAGTGTGGGTTTTGAGGGGAGGTAGGAGGCCAATGAAGACAGGAAGGGAGAGAGGGCTTGAAGAACGTGGCTCCGGCGCTGTGAGGTCAAAGAGAAATATCACAGCGACCCCTTCAGCAAAGGAGCTGAAAACGCAGCAGGCTGGGTTGACAGCATCTGTGTCAAGGACACACGAAGCAGCACAACCGTCCACGCCGTCAGCTCGTGCGTCTAGTGAAATAGAACAGCCACACCTGGATGTCCCTGATGGCCCTTTCGGGAGCCTGTTTCCCCAGGTGTCTCTCGCCTGGCATGTGGGCGATGGGGGCATTGCCTTGTTATCCAAACTCTGGCGGGATCTGACCCGACATTGGTTCTTGGGAAAGATCGTGAAAGGGGGGCTAAGCATGCCTGCCCCTTAGGTTTCCTGCGAGGGGCCAACACCTGTGGAAGCTCACTGGTGCACTGGCTGGGTGGCTCAGATGGTTGGAACATCATTCTGTACCCCAAAAGGTTGCGGGTTCGGTCCCCAGCCAGGGCGCACACTTAGGTTGTGCCTTCGGTCCCAGGTTTAGGTTGCAGATTTGATCCCCGATTAGGGCGCATACCGGAAGGCAGCCAATGAACCCTTCTCTCTCACATCGCTCTTTCTCTCTCCCCCCCTCTCTCTACAAGAAAACAAATCCTCAAGTAAGGATTTTTTTTAAGGTTCAAAGTAAATAAATAAAAATATTTTCATGGGGGGGAGAGGGTTCAGACCCTCAGTGGGGGTTCCCGGAAATTTGGAGGGAGGCAGAAGAGGAAGAAGCCAATTCCCCAAGTCAGGAGTCGCATCTGCCCCACCCCGCGCCCCCAGGCTGTGGAAATGGCAATACCCGGCTCCCACGAGAAAGCAGCTGGAGGAGGCTCAGCTGCGCCAGCCCCGCGTCGTGATTGACCCTCGCTGGTACTCCTTCGACGAAGATGAGCGGTATTGGTGGAAACACTGAACACCAGAAGCCCTCCCCGCCCAAACCCCCAAACCCGCCCTGGCGGAGGAGCCCCGAAGGCCGTCTTCTCGGAGGACCTGTGCCCAGGGGTTCCTCCGCCCACAGGGAAAAGGATGTCTGATTGTCCCGAAGCTCCCACGGTGGTGATCCTGGTGCGTCCGGTGCAGCCTTTGATGTAGGCGGGTGACCTTCAGGTCCCCGGACCTGAGTCGCTCTGAAATGTCTGCTCTACCTTGGGGCATACAGAGGGGGTCCAGTAAACACCGAGCATTTGCAGAAGTGTCAAGTGTGTTCCTTGCTCACTGGGGACATGATTCGGGAGCAGAGGTGGAGGGCTAGCTCAGTGCACCGAGGTTGCGGGTTCGATTCCCCGGTCAGCACACATACCTGGGTTGCAGGTTCAATCCCTGGCCGGGGCGTGTATGGAAGGCAACCAATCGATTCTCTCTTCCCCTTCCTCTCTCAGCATGTCCTCGGGTATTTTTTAAAATATATTTTTATTGATTTTTAGAGAGAAGATGGGAGAAGGAGAGAGAAAATCTATGGGAGAGGAAACCATTGATCAGCAGCCTCCTGCACGCCCCCTACTGGGGATCGAGCCCGCAACATGGGCGTGTGCCCTGACCGGGAATCCAACCGGTGACCTCTTGATGCACCGGGTGATGCTCAACCACTGAGCCACACCGGCCGGGCTGTCCTCGGGACTTTCATGATTTCATCCACAGTTGTTGTTAGGAATCCAGACGGTGGCAGCAGACAGCATTTTTTTCAAAGCCCCCCTCTTGCCCCCAGGGAGCTTGCATAAGAATCCATACCTCGCCCTGGCCGGTTTGGCTCAGCGGTTAGAGCGTCGGCCTTCGGTCCAGAGAGACCTGGGTTCGGTTCCGCTAAGGGCACGTGTTGGTTGCGGTTTGTCCCTGGCCCTGGTTGGGTCGTGCGGGTGGCAGCCACTCGATGTGTCCCTTTCACGTCGATGTCTCTCTCTCTCTCCCCCTCCCACTCTATCTGAACAAAAAATGGAAAAAAATGTCCTAGGGTGAGGATAAAAAAAAAAAAAAAAAAGAATCCGTACCTCATGGGACTACAGCGTTCTGAGGCTGAGGAGAGGGAGGGCCCGCGAAGGTCCGGGACCAGGGGGACCAGGTGGAGGGACCTTCTGAACTAGATGGTGTTCTGGGTGGTATCTCTGTCCCATTGGCGATGACAGTACATCAACAGAGGTTGGGCAAGTGGCTTCCCTTGAAGCTAACAAAATCCAGCTGTGTCTAGACAGTGTGTGGCTGAACCCAGGGGCTGAGTGTTTTCTCTCTTCGCTGAGTCGTCTCCCCTCTGTCCCGTGGAGGAGGCAGTTCCTGCCTCACAGGGCTAGCGTGAGGACCAGACAAGATGATGTGCACGAAGTGCTGAACACATCGTCGGTGCCCATAAATTGTATCTCCCTCCCCCAGTCTCTCAGACACCAGCCATCTCAAAACCCTCATCCGTCGGTCCCCTTCCCAGGGAGGGCAGGCGGGACAGTCGCTCAGTACACTGTTGGGAACACAGGCAGTGGGTCTAACCTCTGGCGACAGGCTGTGTCTGCCAGAGTTAAAGGCACAGCCTCCTTCATGTGGCTTCTGGGTGCGAGGCTAGGAGTAAAGAGCTTTCTGTAGCCTTGTTATGGCAGCAGAAGACAGGAAATGGTCTAACTGTGCATCGGACGGGGACTGGGTAAATGAAATGTATCCACAATAACATGTTTTTAAAATATTGAGGAAATAAGACAATGTATATGGGCCTCTCTGGAACAATCTTAGATGGATAGGTAGATATATAGATGACAGTCTGATAGGTAGATGATAGACATATGCATAGATAGACCATAGATATGGAGGTAAATGATATATACATAAATGGATAGACATGTATAGATACATATACATGAATGCAAGGATAGACACTTATGTACACAGATACACACATGTGATGGAATAACACATGGGGCATGCTTCTGGTAGATTAATTTTATTTTTAATTTTTTTCTTTATTGATTTTAGGGAGGAAATGAGAGGGAGAGAGAGATAGAAACATTGATGAGAAAGAACATGGACTGGCTGCCTCCTGCATGTCCCTCCCTGGGGATCGGGCCCACAACCTGGGCATGTGTCCTGACGGGGAATTGAACTGGCTACCTCTTGGTGCTTGGGCTGATAAATTATTATTTTATTTATTTATTTATTTATTTATTTATTTATTTATTTATTTATTTATTTATTTATTTTTGGTACATGCCCCTAACCACTAGGGTCTTGCAGGGACTGAACCCGGGACTCTCTGGTCTGCAGGCCGATGCTCCAACCGCTGAGCCAAACTGGCCAGGGCTGGTAAATTAATTTTAAAAGGCATCTGTAATTCACTGAGGATCTCAAAAGATAATGTAGGGCAAGGAATGAGGAATCTGGGAATTGGTATAAAAGTCTTGGGAAGTAACCTTTTTCACCAAGTCTCAATTCCTTTCTTTTTTTTTTTAAGTCTTATTTGTGACTAAATGCATGAATTCCTTACTTGAATCCCCCTAGCATAGCCCCGATCTGTCATAATGACTTTTTACTTTTATCTTCACCCGAGGACATTTTTCTATTTTTTGTTCAGATAGAGTGGGAGGGAGAGAGAGGAACAGAGAGAAACATCGACGTGAAAGGGACACATCAAGTGGCTGCCACCCGCACGACCCAACCAGGGCCAGGGACAAACTGCAACCGAGGTACGCGCCCTTGGCGGGAACCAAACCCGGGTCTCTCTGGACCGCAGGCCGACGCTCTAACCGCTGAGCCAAACCAGCCAGGGCTCGTAATAACTTTTGCCATCCACATAGTGCCTGCTTTGCAAGCTGGCGGCCACACCCACTCCACAGGCGTAAAGACCAGTGAGACTGGACGTTTCGTTCAGATGCTCACGTTCTGCTACTTAGACTCTGGGAGCACCTGGGGGGAATATTGAACGTCCCCTAAGCCTCTGTTTCCTCATCTGTGAAATGGGGATAATGTCTGCTCCCGAATGAGTCTTGGGTGATGCAGGGAGCTGAAGCGGAACTGTCCCTCAGACCGGCAGTGGGGCTCTGTCCACGGTGCTGAAGGACTTGCCCCAGACCCGAGGCGCGGGGATCCACCGACAGACTCTGTCCATGCAGGCAGGAGAGGAGGTGAGATGAAAGGCCAGAAACAACCCCCTCATCCACAACCTCTTTGGGAGATAAGTGGAAGGGGGAAAGGGGAATGAATTATAACAAACACACCCCCAAAGATGCATAGAGTGTCCTTCAGTGTCTGGGGGGATTGGTTCCTGGACCCCCAGTGGGTACCGAAGTCCATGGATTATCTAGTCGCTCATATAATGTGATGTAGTATTTGCATATGATCTATATTTACCTTCCCCAGTTACAATGTACGGAGAGTGTTTATCCCAGTCAACCCCCTTGGCTTCCAGCTGGAAGAAAAACCCAAAGTGGGTTGGGTCTGCAAGTCGCAAAGACCCCTGCTTCGGGGTCCTGTAACCAAGAACAATAGGCACCTCTGCCTTCGAGCTTAGGAGGGGGTTTCTGACGCTGAAGGACACACACACCCCTCCAGCCAACTGTCACTCTCGATATGAATCCTCAGTGTTACCAGATTAATTGTACCAAGAGAAGCCGGAGTCCAAATTTTTTAGGTAACATCTGATGGAAAATTTCTGCTTAAGAACACAAAAAAAGAAGGTAAATGTGGCTGGTGTGGGCTTCCCAAACCGTAATTGTTTTTTCAGCTTTATTGAGGCATACTGCACAAATAGAGTGGTAAGATGTCAAGCGTACCCCGTGTTGATTTGACACGTGTGGACACTGGGACAGGGCCCCCGTGCCTAGCTCATTAGCTCATCCATCACTGCACATATTTCCTTTGTTGGCTTGTTTGTGGTGAGAACTTTGTCCTCTTGAATTCATGCTCGAGGACTGGCAACTGGAGGCCGTTGGATGGAAATGGGCCACCGATTGCTCAGGCTGGTTCACTCCAGCCTTGGAAAACGGTTGTCAGGGACTGAGCACAGGGCCCTTACCGACATCCCTGGGGTAGCCCTTGAAATGGTCCCTTGGAACAGGCAAGCTCTTCTTCGCACAGAGGAACCCAAGGGTCAGCGTGGTGAGTTCACTTGCCCCGGGGCCACACAGCCTATTTGTGGCAGTGGAAATTGGCCCTGAACTTTTCTTGCCCTGGTGACAGTTCCTGCTACCCCTCCCTGGGTAGGAGAGGATGAGGCAGGCCTGAGAGCAGACTTGCTGTCCCCACCTCCCAGTTCCACCCTGAGCTGGTGCAGGACACCCAATCACTGGCTTCTACTTGAGTGATAGGGCACCTCCCACCACTCAGGCACCCAACTCCTCCCCTCCCTCCCTCCCTCCCTCCTTCTCTCCCTTCCACCTAGAGAAGTACCCAAGGACCATGAGCCATCAAAGGCCCTATAGATACTGGGCAGTTGTCTCATTCCTTGAATCCCTGTGCCCACTCTGGACCAACAAGTTCTGCCCCTCCCTGCTTTAAGTGACCTGAGATCTCAAAATAAGCTGAACCAATTCCAAGCAAGGTGATGGCCACTGGAAGATGTGCCTTTCTGACCTAAGAGCATGCCCGCAATAGCCTATTCCATCCTCCCGGGAGCCACGCCCTTCTGCCAGGCGGCCATCCCGACCTTGGTTTTGAGCCTCATTCTCCAGACCTGAGGTCCCCCGAAGTGGGGACATGATCTGCTCAAGGGTGGCAGAGCCCCAGTTGGCAGATTCGGGGCTCAAACAGGAAATCTCACTTCCCCCTTCAGCCCCTCTGCCGTTAACCCCTCCTTTCCTGCCGAGGCCACAGGGTCCTGGAGCCCCTCCGGCCTCCTCTGCACCATGGCCATCCAGCCAGGCAGAAAACACCCCCAGGCAGGGTGCTCTCCCCCAAAGGACAGCCATGACAGCCCCCCAGAATCCCAGAGACTGGCTGTGGGTTTCAGGGAACCGGGATTGGCATCAGGAGACCCATCCTGATGAGCCACGTACCAGCAGCCCTCACCTCACAGGACTGCTGCAGTGACTGGGGACTGCCAGGCACTGGACAACAGGCGCCAGGGCCCTGGTCCTGTCCCCACCCACCCCACACACTGGCTCCTTCAGTTGGACTCCGTAGGAGACAGGTATCTGCCCACCAGTCCCAATTCCTTCTATAGTGTAGCTTTGAGGCTGGGAAGCAGTAGCCCAGCCAGGGACACTCAGCCCCCTCTGCTATGACACGTGACCCCACTCACCCACAGTGGAATGTGAGGGAGACAGGTGCGAGTCCTCCCAGAAGCTGGGTGGGGGGAGGGGCAGAGGAAGCCAGACGGGCCTGGGCTCCTCACTGCCCCGTGGAGGAGAGCCACCAGCCTCGCTGTCCCTTGAGTGAACAGGACCTGTGTGAACTGAGACTGGGATTCCTTTAAAAGGCAGCAGTAAACGCCTGTTCCTCACAAGCCTGGACACTGGTGGCCACCTCTCGGTGGCCGGAGTCTGCTGCAGGTGCCCTGCCCGTCACTTCCAGGACAACAGCCCCGTCTGTACCCAGGCTGGGCATGGACTCACTGGGCAGCTACTCAGCAGGCTTTGGCTCTCTGAAGTCCTGGCCCCTGGCCACTGTCCCCTCCACGGCTGCTACCTGGCAGGGACCCCTCTACTTACCCTCTGGCCCTTCTCCCTCTCCAACGCAAGAACCACGCACAGCAGACAATCAGATGGTGCCGTTTATTGGCCCCCACCCATCCTCCACCACCCAGGCCATGGAATAGGGAGGGGCCAGTTCTCTGAGGGGCACCTTGGAACCAGGCTGGTTCTGCCTCCACATTCCTGCGCCCCCAGACCCATGACCGAGAGGGAGGGCTTGGGCAAGAAAAAGGATGGGATTCAAGGGGGGAGAAAAATAATGGTAATGGGATTGGGTGGGTACGATTAAAAGAAAATTCTAAAAGAGGAAAGGATCCCCCCCTCTTTACCTTCCCTCTCTAGGCTCCCCCTAAATGGAAGAGCCCAATTGCTCTCCATTCTTTGCCAGCCCCTCGACTGTGGGGGGAGAGAAAGTGGGGAGTCGGTCTTTCGCTCGTGGGTTTGTCCTCTTGGTCTCTAGTTCGCATCGTCTATCTCCGGCTCCGCGGAGAACTACAAGGGACAGGCCAGGTCCAGCGCGGGGGCTCGGGGGTGCGCGGCAGCAAGGTGAGCACCCCAGCACCCTTCCCGAAGACACTGCACCGCGGGGCAGGCAGCTGCCTGGGAGGTCGCTGCGGGCCCGGGCCCCTCGGTCCATTTCTCCCCGGGTCTCTGGGTCCTGCGCCATCGCTCCCGCTGAGCCCGAGGGGCCCTGACCCCTCGGGCCCCTCACCCCTACCGGGCCTCCCCGCCTCGGCACTCGCTGCACCGGCCACCTGCCGCCTCGTCCTCGTCTTCCTCATCGTCCCCGCCGGACCGGTAGTAGCTCTGTCCGCAGCGGCTGCAGACCGAGGGCGCACCCACGGCGTGGATCTTCTTGTGTCTGCGCAGCGCGGCGCCCTGCACGAAGCCCTCGCCGCACTCCACGCAGATGTGCGCGGGCTCCTCGCCCCCCGCCGCCCCGAGCCCGTCCTCGTGCTGGGCGCGCTGATGCGCCAGGAGCCCGGCTGCCTGCCCGAAGCCCTGCCCACACTCCATGCACACGTATGGCTTGGGGGCCGGCGCGCGCCGGGAGCGGGGCCCCGGCACCTTGGCCCCGGTGCCCGCCACAGCTGCGGCCGCCGCAGCCCCCTCCCCCGGCGCGCCCACCACGATGATGCCGTCGCCGTCGCCCACGGGGATGGCGATCTCGCCGTCTGCCGCCGCCGCCTCCTCGGGCGCCTTGGCCCGGCGCACGCTGGCCGCCAGCACCTTGGCCGCTACGCCGGGCCCGGAGAGCTCCGGGTGCAGCCGCAGGTGGCGCGCCAAGCTCTTGGGCTGGCTGAAGCCGCGGCCGCAGCGCGGACACACGAAGGGCTTGAGGCCGCTGTGCGAGCGCCGGTGCTTGGCCAGGCTCTTGCTCTGCGTGAAGCTGCGGCCGCAGTCGGGGCAGGCGTAGGGCTTCTCGCCGGTGTGGATGCGCTGGTGCTGCATGAGGTTGGAGCTCCAGCTGAAGCGCTTGCCGCACTCGGAGCAGGCGTAGGGCTTCTCGCCGGTGTGGATGCGCCGGTGCTGCACCAGGTGCGAGCTCTGCGAGAAGGTCTTGCCGCAGTCGGTGCAGGCGTTGGGCCGCTCGCCCGTGTGCGTGCGCTGGTGCCGCGTCAGCTTGGACCAGTGACTGAAGCTCTTGCCGCACTCGTTGCAGATGTAGGGGGCGGGCGGCCGCGGCCGGGGCGGGGGTCCGGCCGGGGGCGCGGACTGGGGCGGGGACAGCTTGGTAGGGGGCCAGGTGGGCACGTCGTCATCATCCATGATGAGAATGTCCACTAGAAGGCAAGAGAGTGGGAGGGGAGAGGAGTCAGAGACCAAGCTCATACAGGACCCATCCGTGTGAGTGGAGGGCTAGCCAGGGCAGGGGCTGCAACCGGGTTGTCCCACCTGCCCCTGTGCAGGGGGTGGGCAGCCCATTCACCTCCTGGCGCCCTCGCAGGCTCCCGTGACATGGGCGGGGCGGTGCACCCCTCTCTGCAGAGACCTGACCCTGGGAGGTGCCCACCGGTCTCCACCCGTCCTGCCCATTTTCCTCAGAGCACCCACTAGTCTAGCCACTTCCCCAACCATTCATCTGTCCACTACCCAGCTCTCCAGGCTGCTGCTTCACGACTGTCCTGTACATCTAGAAAATGCCTGGGACACAGGAGGGACACTGGCTAGGGGCAGGGGGTTCTGGGGAGAGCTCACTGGGAAGGACAGGGTGGCAGGGCCAGCCCTGAATGCAGCGACCCTGGCCCAGGGACTTTGAAGGGGCACAAGTTGGGGAGTGAGGGTGTCACATGTGGGCCCTAGGACACTATCCTGGCAGAATGGAGAGTTAGGGAACCAGGTGAATGGGACCACAGGCCAGCAGGGAGGTCTGGGCCCCCATTAACCCTTACATAACATAGCCACTCTTACAGACATCCTCACATGGGTCCCTGGTTTTGTGGGTCACCTGCCCAGTGGGACCTTGGTCTTGCCGGACACCCCCACGAACATGCTGCCCAGAAAAGCCCTCTCCCCACCTTGTGCACCTGCCACTTCCGCTCTCCTGCGGCTGGGCCCCCAGCCAGAGGGTGATGGTGGGCACCTCCCCACCCCAACTGACTCTCCTAGGGCCCTGACCACCCGAGTGCAGCACAGTCCTCCCCCCATCTCGGCTGCCCCAGGTGCACCCCAGTGTCCCAGCACCACACACAGCAGGGCACAAAGCACTGCAACACTGTCCCCAAGACCACGCTGGCTGACAAGGGAAGAGGGCTGAGATGTACCAAGGATGCTAGCACACACGGGCACGTGGCTACTGGTTTGCACCCCAGCTCTGTCCTGGGCTCACAGGGACAGCTCTACACGGGTGTGTGGCTGCTGGTTTGCACCCCCAGCTCTGTCCTGGGCTCACAGAGACAGCTCTACACGGGTGTGTGGCTGCTGGTTTGCACCCCAGCTCTGTCCTGGGCTCACAGGGACAGCTCCACATGGGCATGTGGTCAGCGTGGCCCAGGGGAGCCGGGTTTGCCATGCGCACTGTTTTAGGTGGGGCCTGGGGATCCAGGGCTGGAACGTAGCACCCCAAGTTTCCTCTCTGAGATTCCAAAGCACACTGACCTGTGACAGCAAGCTGACGGGAACATCGGAACTTTGTCCCCTGCAGGTGATGCCATCTTTTTGGGAGAGCTCCCTCCTCAGAATCAGAACCTTCTGAATTTCTATTCCTATTTTTAGATTGCTTCTCTCTGAATACCTGTAGCTAAGGCCCCGAGATGGGCGTGGATGGCTCTGCTACCCCACCACTGCCTGACCAACGCCCCTCTCATCCCACCCTGGGAACTCCAGGCTGGGGCCACCAGGACAAGGGGCCAGGCAGCAGGTCAGAAAGCCAGCCGTGCATGGGGCGGCCTTCCTCCCAACCCTGGATTTGCCCGTGAGACAGTGCAGCAGGCTGCTGTCCCAGCACCCCAGCATCTTCGATCGGCATTTCGACCATGAGAACTGTGAGAAGCCCGAGATGACCAGCCGGCCCGGAGAGGCTGGTGCAGAGCGGGAGACACATGGAGAGCTTACAGAGTGCCAGCCACTGCCAAAGTCATCAGCTTGGGAATCTGGACACCCTCTCCACCAATGTTCAAAGGCAGGGGAAAATGGTAACACTTCTGAGGTTCCCCCAAATGTCCTAGGTGAGTGGATCGCATCTGAAAGAACCGACCCGAGTGCTTTCCTGTCTCAGCCGCTGAGTGGAGCACAGCGCCAGGGCAGCACGGCCACCAGGGTCACAGGCTGCAGCGGCCCAGCTCGATGGCAGATGGATGGCAGAGAGCGGAAGAAGGGAAGGTCTTGTGTGCTGTCTGTGAGTACAGAGAGGACTGTTCTGGGAAACTATTCCTGTCTCATATAAATAAACATTCAGGCCCTGGACAATGTTCTCAGTGGTTAGAGCATCGGCCCACACAATGAAGGGCTGTAGGTTTGATTCCCAGTCAAGGGCAAGTACCTGGGTTGCAGGTTCAATCCCTGGCCCTGGTAGGGGTGTGTGCAGCAACCAATCGATGTGTCTCTCTCACATCAATGTTCCTCTCTCCCTCCTTCCCTCTCCCTCCCTCTAAAAATCAATGGAAAAAATATCCTCGGGTGAGGATTAAATAAACACACACACACACACACACACACACACACACAGGCCTGGGGTGTGTGCAGATCGAGGAAACGACCACATAAACGACTTCGGGCCTTGACGACAGAACAGCATGCCGTGGGAGTTCCAGAGCCACCTAGCCAGCAGTAGCCAGGGCCTGCCTCAGGTGACAGACACAGTGTCTTCTCCGCCTCAAGGCGACTTGTCATCAGGATGGGGAGGTTCCAACTTCTGCGGAGGGCTGGAATCTTTTCTTCAGAAACCTCATCCCGAAGCCCAGCCTCCTCGCCTGCAGCTGGGGCCCTAACGCCAGCCCGCAGTCTCCAGGGAACACCGAGCCTGCAGGCCACTGGCCATGGGGAAGCCTCTACCCAGGATGGCCTGCGGAAAGGTCGCCCAGCTCCCGAGGGGCCGGCCACCTCCACGGAAGGACATCCCCCAGGTTCGGCGTCCTTCCCCTCAGTGACTACAGACAGCTCCCAAGGCACCACTGAGCCCACGTGCTGCCCTCTCCATGCGGGGACATCCTGGGTGCTGCCAATCAGGCCCCTCTCCCTCTTGCCAGAAAAGTCCCCATGGAGATGAGCCAGAAAAAACAGTCTTGGTGATTCCAAGGCTACCTCCTGTGTCAGCAAGACCCAAACTAAAAGCTGATGGAGGGACAGGTGCCCAGAAAGCAGACCCTGCCTCCCTCCTCTCTCCCTTCCTGTCCTTCTGCCTTTGGTGGTTTTCTAGGGGGGCAGTTGGCTGGGACTGAGGCTCCATCTCAGGATGGCACAGAGGAGGCCACCAGGATCCGGACTTCGGTGGCTCATGGAGGAATGGCTGAATTAACCACCCCTGGAAGCACCCACCTCCAGCCAGATGCCCCAGATAATATTCAACCTCCTTTTGGTTGAAGCCACTATTGAGTGGGTGTTCCCGGGCAGCTGAGCGGGTCCCCGATGGCCCTGCCACACTGCCTGGTGTCCTTCGGCAAGCCCTCCATGGGGCCTTTGTCCATGCCAGCGCTGCCCTCTCCACGGGTCACTGCATCTCCTCCAGCCGCAGCCCTTTCCCAGCGAGGCCTTGCTGGCCCTGAGGCGGGCCTCCCCAGGGAGGCTGTCTTCGCTGGAGTCCTGTTTGTGACACTGAACGAGCAAGGGCTCCCACATCCGTGCTGGGGGCACTGAGCCAGGTGGTCGCAGGCTAGATGAGCGGTGCAGGGCGTGGGTACACTCCAGATGAGCCAGAACCTGGCCTCCAGTTCGAGAGACCCACGCTGGCAGTCATGGACAAGAGTGGGCACCAAGAGTGGACGCAAGGACGACGGGGAGGTCAGTGCAGCCAGCGACCCTGGTGTTGAGACGCGTAGCCACGGCCTGCAGGGTCCATTTGAGATGCACATGCGCAGATGCACAGAATTCCAACGTGCAAGGGGCGGGGTCAGGGAGACTCCAGGCCCGCATGCGCGGGGCTGAGCTGAGCTGGCACCGCCCACTTTCTCCTGGGAACTGCAGCCACATCTAGTTGCTGACACGGGAACTCCGAGGGGTCCTTGGCCCGTCAACCTCACCCAGATCCTCTCCGCCCACGGGCTCAGCGCGCCTTCCGTACGGCCGTCCTCCTCCCCTCGGTCACTCCTCTGGGCCCTGGGGCCTCGCAGCTAGCTGAGGACCCCACTTGGCTCGACGGGGTGCTGGGCTGTCTCAGGGCCAGGCTGCTCCTTGCGCTGGGATGGGTACCCCACACGGTTCCCTTCCGCCTGGGGGTGCTCACTCACCTTTCCATGGAGGCGACCCTGCCCTCCACGTGCTGCCCTCCCCCGGCCCCACCCCCTCACCAAAGGCCGGAGGAAAACGGACCAGGACCAGGGCAGCCACTCCTGGCTGGACCTGCTCCCCATGACGTCAGCCTGTGACGTCACAGGGAGACCGGCTCGGCAGGCAGTGGGGCGCATGGCACTTGGAAGATCCGGGCCACAAGGCTTATGAGCGGAGCTAAGGGGATGTCACGAGGTGGTGGCATCCCAGCAGAGATTTCTGCCAGACCCCCGGCGAGCTAGCCAAGGGGGCATGAGGACCCGCCCGCACTCCTCAGACGTTTTCTGAAGAAAGTGACACAATGAACAACTTGTAGAACAGAAACTTCACTTACTCCAAGGCACACACACACTTTGGGGACAATTTTGGATACTTTAACACAGAGTATTAGATGGTGTTAAGGAGGAACATTGTACATGAGATACGTGTTTTGCAGTTGGCTGGTTTTTGTTCTTTTTGAGTCCTTATCTGTTGGAGAATTTTAGGTAAATTATATAATGTCTGGGATTTTATTTAAAAACACACCCACCGTCCTGGCCAGTGTGGCTCAGCAGTTGGAGCACTGATTCCCAGTCAAGGGCACATGCCTGAGTTACAGGTTCCATCCGGCCCTGACTGGGGTTGTGCGGGAGGCAACCAATCTATGTTTCCCTCTTCCTCCCTCCCTCCCAGGCTATCTAAAAAAGTCAATGGAAAAATATCCTTGGGTGAGAATTAAAACAAAAAAATTAAGATAAAATAAATAAATAATAATAAACCCATAACACTAGGGGCGCAGTGTGAAACAAGACCAGCCCAGTTGCTATCCGCAGAAGCTGGTGGGGTAAAGTGGAATTGTTACACTGTTTATGTTTGAAATTTCCACAAGGAACTAGACTTTCAGGTTAATTTTTAAAAGGCAAAAAGGCCAAGGACTGTGACAGGAAGGAGGGGGGAGCGGGCCTGGGGGAAATGGGGAAGGGCGGAGCGGGGAGCCCACCGCCGGAATCTCGGACACGGGAGCAGAAGGCGCCCAGGCCTCATCAAGTGGCCGCCTGCCCGCCCTCGGCCGCCCAGGGAGCGAGCGCACGGGGCTGCCCCCCAGCGCCTGTGTTCTGAATAAAGTTTTATTGGCTCGTGGTCGGGCCCCCTCACTTCCGCCCAGTCAGTGCCTACTTCCGCTACCGGGGCGGCCTGCCCAGCCGGAAGTGTGGAAGTGTTTCCGCCGGCCCTTTGCCGTGGGCGTCTGCAACCCGTGGCAGCGCGATGCCCCGTGAAGACGCCTCAGCGGCGGGCGCCAGCCCCTGGGCGCGGACCCAGCTTCCACTGAGCGGTGAGTGTGATTCAGCCCAAACAGTGCTTCATTAGGTGAAACCCGTCCCGATTTTAGAGATTTCTAAAAGCCCAGCTTCCCACCCCACCCCCTTCACCCTGACTGTTGCCTTCCAGCCGGCAGCATTTGGGTTTGCCACCCCGGTCTAAAGAGTTTCTTGCCTGGGAGAATCGAGGAGCCCCTAGGAAAGGGGCAGGGCACCTAGGGTGCTGGGAGAGCAGGGGCAACCCCTAACGAGGGGCAGTGAGGTGGCCCCAGGGGCCCCCAGGGACGGCGACCAAAACGAAACTTAGAGACCCTGCCTGGCCCAGGGAGTGCCTGGCTGAGGCTGGGTTAAGGTGCCGGGGCCTCTGGAGGAAGGATGGGCAACCCCAAAGACACGGGAGGGAAACGAGGGAGCCCAGTGTCCAGGGGAAGGGCGCGGGGTCAGGTGACAAGTGCCCGAGGCTGCCTCACCTGGGTTCTCGTGACTGGCCATCTGCTGGTCCTCAGAATCCAGCGGCCCCGGAGACCAGGCCTCTTCCCGCAGCTCCATGTATGGGTCCCTGTTAGAAGGGGATGAGACAGAAGGACAGAGTTTACTGGATGCCAGACAGAGCCTGGGAGGGCAGGTGCATCTCAGCTCCAATCAGCACTTGAGCTCAGAGTGCCCAGCTCGGTCCTGCAGACAGAGGGACTGTGAAGAAACGGCCTGCTTGTCCCCACTGGATGGGAAACCAACCAGACTTCAGCCACCCGCAACCACCGGCCCACCCCAGTGACAGCCCCCTTCCCAACACGCAGGGACCTGCGGATACAGCCCCAGGAACATGGCCATGAGGAGCAGGAAGTGGGTCAGGGCGGTCTGGAAGGATCTCCAAGAAAGCCATGAAGAGCAGCCTGAGGGGAGGCATGTGCGAAGGGCCGGCAGAACCCCGCCTGGCAGCAAATGTGCGCCGATTCTCCCTCAGGGCCTTGCAGGCCAGGAGGGACTGGGGAGTCACGTGAAATGCGGGTCCTTTTGAGGCGATCACCATCACAAGCTTTACCGATGCGGAACCGGGCTGAGACACAGCAAGCACACCTGGCCTGCAGCAGCCACGGCAGGGCGCCAAAATCACTCAGTGCCGGGCTCAGGAGACAGCAACTCCCGGGATACACGCGATGTCAGGACGCAGATGGAGATGCACATGCCTGCCGCCATCCTTCACCAGGGCTGCGGAGCGTCACCTCCTCAGAGAAGCCCCAGCCCCCACCTCCCCTCCCCAGGGACCCTGAGACCACTGGGCACCCAGCACCTACAACATGGCTGCCGGGGCAGGTGAATCCAGTCCTGGTGACACGGCCAGCCGATCGGGAGGCGGCCCCTGCCTGGAGACCTTGCTCCCCAGCTCATGGGGACCCAACCTCAGAAAACTCCCCGCGTTTAAAGTTCATCACAGCAAGATCCGGAGCAGGGGAACTGGGGCGAACTCGAGCCCGCTGCGGGGACAGTGCGAGTGCACCACGCGGGCACACTGAGGGGCGTCACAGCCTCCAAAACAGCCGGTCTCCGCTGACCGCGGGGATGGCAAATGTAACTTTTTAAATCTTCCTCTCCATTTTTTTATTTACAATGATAATGCTTCTGTGAAGGTAAAAACACTCCAAGCCGGTATACTTTCCGGTGGCCGTGAGGACCACGCATCATCTGAGAGACTCATAGGGTGCTGAGGGGCGAGTAGGTAACACTGGTAAATGGGTACCGCACAGGGGCCCTCATGTCCAACACTGGGACCCGGCAGCCACTGGGGCAGAGGGTCTGGTGGGTCCTCAGAGGGGAAGGAGTTACCAGGTGTGCCCCATAAATAAAGCACATGACCACACAGCTGCTCTTAACAGCAGCCAGAAATCAGATGACCCACAGGCTGGGTGAAAGGAGTGGCCACAAAGGGCCACACAGAAATGTCCAGGACAGAGTGGCTGACAGTGCTGGCCACACGGGGCACACTGTAAATATCTGAGCAATACTGAACTACACATGTTGATAAAGGGGCGGGTTTTACAGTGTGTGAGTTACGGCTCAGTTAAGTGGATAGACTGAACAAGGGTAGGCTCTCTGTTCACACAGTGCATGTTAAATATTCATAAAAGAATGACTAGAAAGACGCCAGGCACTGTGTGGGTGGAAGTGGGATGGGGTAAGCTGCTCCTCTGCCTTCTCCATCCAAACTTGTTTGCCAAGGGGTTCCGTGTGCTCCCCTGCAGTAGCTAGCTGAGTGTGCAGCAATAACAGGGGCTTCTTGGCTGGAGCCTCCAGCTGGGGCCTGGCTCCTGCAGCCAGGGCATCGCAGGGCTGTGGGCAGTGGGGACCATCCTCATCTGTCCCAGGGAACCTGCAGGCTCTGGGCAGTCCTGGGCTAAGCAGTCGGGGATGGTGGTCCTTCTGTCTGTAGTATTTAAGGTGTCGGCCACCCAAGATCCGCATGCGTTCAGCCGATGCGTGATGATGATCAGGAGCCCTACTGGCAGGACACAGCAGAGGAAGCACGCACATGGTTTTCGTGGTAGAACGGGCCAGGAACACAGGAAAGGGAACAAAGCAGGAGAGCTAGTCTTGAGAAGTCCACCTGAAACAGTCCACTTTGCCAGTTTATCTTGACTTCCAGACCACAGCAGGTACAAGAAGGGCGCTCAACCTCCTTCGTCCCAGAACAGATGAAGCTCTCCCCACCACCTGGAAAGTGCCCTCTGCCCAGAAGGAAGAAAGTCTCTTCTGCAGACACAGGGAGTCGAGGCTGAGGAGGAGTCTGTACAAACACGTCGTTCAAAGATCTCTTCTCCTTCAGTGTCCCAGGGACGGCAAGTCCCTGCCGTCACCTGTACAAGCTCTCAGGCCTGGTCACTCCTGCCATGGACACCGTTCGTGGGCTTCTCTGTCACGAGTCCATCTCGGCTGGAAACCCTGAGAGCCGAAGGGGAAAGGAGAACCTTGCTGCCCCTGCGGACGTGTGGGAAAGCCTCTGGTACAGATGGACGGAATGTCGGGGGTGGGGATGCATGTCAGTGACCCTGCACACGCGGGGCCTCAGCGCCCAGGGAACAGCAGGGGCCCGCAGAGCCCATGGTGGGAGTTGCGAGGGTCCTGGGAGCGTCAAGAAGGGTGTTCACTGAACGTGACCCAGGTCCCTCCTGTCTTGCTCACTCACTCACGAAGCTGCTGAGGCCTCTGGTCCTGCCCCAGGATCTCAGAGTTGAGGGACTGCCCCTTCCCATCTGGGGGGTGACTGCAGAGAAGAAGAAGCAGGCTGTGGCCTGGGCATCCCCAACCTGGCTGGCAGGACTCGCAGATCCCTGGACAAGACCCGGGGAATTCTGAGTCAGCCTGACCATAGATATGGACAACTTCTGAGGCAGAAAGGGGGCTCCTGCCCTGCCTGGACCTCCCCACCCAGCTCCCCCAGTTCTCAGCCAGAAGCTCAAAGCTCCCCCCAGTCCCTGCTCCCCACCCACCCGAGCCAGGCCCTTGGGCGATCCAATTAGCACGCAGAGCTGTCAGGGCCCTGCGGCTAGTAAGCTGTAGACAAATTATTGTTATTGTTGTTATTAGATCCCACCCACCTCCTCTGGATGCCTGCCCACCAATTACCCTGCTCTTTCTTCTGCTGCCAGCCCTCCTCCTCCCCCCGGCAGCCAGCTCAGCTCACTGGGCTTCTTCCCTGGCAGGAAACAGCTGCCCCTCCACCGTCTGCCCTCAGCCCAGCTCCTCTCCCTACCCCAGACCCTGCTCTCATGTGCCCACTGGCTTTCTCCCCCTCCCTGCTTCCCCTCCACCACCTCCCCTGACACTCGGGCCACTCCCTGACCACAGCCCCCTCTCACCCCTGGTCACCAAATCCAGTGACTACTTCTCAGCCTTGACCCCCACCCTGCAAAGTCATGTGCACATGTGCTCCCTGCCCACTCCTCCTCCTCACACCATAGACAACTCATCTTTGTAAGTCCCTCTGCTCAAACAACCCAAGTTAAAGAGGGCAAAGGATCAGAACAGCATGTCTCCAAAGAAACATGCACAGGGCTGACGGCATGTCACAAGATACTCAACATCACTGCCATTGGGACGCACGTGAGGGCTGCTGCACACCGCTGGGGTGGGCACAAGGGCAGAAACAGATATGAGTGAGGATGTGGGCACACGGAGACCCATGCTCTGCGGGTGGGACCCAGCACTCGGCTTCTGGCCACACACCCCGGAGAAATGGCAGCACGTCCACACAACACGCACCCGCAGAAGCACGAGTCTGAGCCAGAGTGGGACAGGGCCCAAGCGCCACAGCAAACAAGTCGGCCCCTGCGGGGGGGCTGTCATACACGAGGTGCGAGGCGCTGCCTCACCACGGCCTCCAAACGCCCGCGTGCGAGTCCACAGACAGGACGGTCCAGACAGGCAGACCCGCAAGGATTATCGCTCCGCGGTTCCCAGGCCGGGGTACGGCGTCTCTTTCAGCGTCACCAGTGTCCTGAAAGCACTGTGGCAACAGTCACGCCTGCTGCACACACGTGGGCCTGGGGACGGCGCGGTGAGGGATCATCTGAGTTAAGGCGGGTTTTAAAGGCAGCTCAGCTCACGAACCCCCTCCCTGAACTGCCCACAGCACGAACCCCCTCCCTGAACTGCCCACAGCACGTGCAGTTGCGCCCACTCCAGAACCCGAGCCCCTCCCACCACCCTGCCAGGGCCCTGGGCCCTGGGCCCTCACTCCAGCCCACCTCCCTGCCTGTGCCGGCCCCCCTTTCAAGGGGGAGCTCGTGTCCCCTCCCTGGAGGCCAAGCCCCGCCCCACATCACATCCCAGACCCCTTCCTTCCAGCATCCACAGGCCTTCTAGAACAATCTTCCTCATTTCCTTCCGTGGGGTCTGGTCTGCCGCCCACGCAAGCTGCTGACTCAGCGGGGCTGCCTCCGACCCTCGCACCCTCCTCAGCCACAGGCACTGCCCCAGCCGGTGGCCCCCGAGTGGTGGGAAGCCCCGTAGCCTCAGCCTGCCCCCACTTCCCTTTTCTGTGAGGCTTCACGCTCCCTCCGGGCTGAAACCTGGCCTGTCCCCTCTGGCGCTGGGTGTCTCTGACACCATCCAGATCTTAGCCCTCCACCCGAGGCCGGTCTGTGTAGATCTCCCACCGCGTCTGGAGTGAGCTGGGGGATTACACCCCGGTCCCATCCCGGGGCTGTGACCTGTGCCTCCCTCGGGCTTCCTGTGTAGTTGACAGCTGAGCACCGCAGGCCCTGCGCCCTTCTCGTCTCTCCGTGGGTCAGGCGGCTCGCAGAGCCCACCACTGCTGCTTCCTCCAGCCTGCCCAGGGGCCTGGGCTAGAAAGTGAGTGAGGTCAGAGTGGGCACCTGAGGCCTCTGTCACCACCCCTCTTTCTGCATGAGAAGTTTCTGGAACTCCTAGAACCCTGACCCATTTTTATGGTAGCAGGCCCACCTGGGAGGGGCCACCTGCTACCATCCAGTGTCTCCAGATTCTTGAATGTTAGTAACTGAAGATTGTTTAACACACAAAACTACTCTTCAGGACAATAAAAATAAAAATAAAAAAGATCTGGAACCCCCCCACAGGCCATCTTACAGCTGTCACCCCTCAACCTGGCCATGGGGCCCGCCTCCATCCCCTGGGTAGGACCTCTCCGTCCCTGGCCTTTCCGGCAGGCACTTCCAGATTTGCTGCCAGGGCCCAGTGAGAACAGCACCTCTCCCAGGAAGCCTTCCCAGACTTGTCCCTTCCCTCAGCTCAACTGCCGTCTCTCAAACAGCAGACCAGATTCATCTAGCACAGGCCGCATCGCAGACCCCAGGCATGGGGTGCTGTAGGCACAAAATCCTGACCAAATAACCACCCAGAGACCGGAGGACAAGCTTCTGGGGCAGGCTCCTAGGTCCAACTTTGCCCCCACCCTCTACCACATGACCTTGGCCTCAAGACCAAAGAAATGCTGCCTCTGAGGTGCCCACTGAGCCAGGTGCTAAGTAAGGGCCCAGTACTGCCCTCAGGCCAGGGCTCGGACAAGCTCAGTGGCCAATGTCACACAGCCAGGGCAGCAGGGCCAGGACTCGCTGGGTCAGCCAGACTCCAAGGCGGTTCCTGTCCCTCTCCCTTAGGTCACTGTTACTTCATTCCCCATACCTCCCACTACTGCAGGCGAGTCCTATATCCATGGGGAGGGTGTCCCCCCCCCCCCCCCCCCCCAGCAGACTGTGAGCTTGGCTCTGGGAGGGCAGGGATTACCTCCCAGGACAGACCCACACACACAGGAGCCCCAGGAACCCAACACTCTCGGACTACCCGATGCCTCTGTGTCCCCAGCTACAAGGCCACACAGGACGCCCTTTCACATGAGAGAGAAGGCAGTGTCCTGTGAGCCCAAAGGCATAGACAGAACCAGAAACCCCATGGCTCTCTGCGCTCCTGCAACAGGGCTACTGACATGGGTGATTTGACAACCCCAACTCCCCTCCTGCCCGGGTCCGGCCACCTGTGAAAGTCACTCCTGAAATGAAGGGCTGGGTCTCAGATCCCCTGTATCAACCGGCAGCTCATCCCAGCCCGATGACTGACCCCTAAGAGGCCTCAGAACAGCCTATCTCCCAGACACCACTCTCGGCCCAAAGAAATAAGTCAACAGAGTGAAGGGCTGAGCTTCACCACAGGCAGCCCCACGCTCCGATGCTGTGTGGGTCCTGGATTTGGACCCAGTCCCCTAAAATGGGGGATCTACCTCCATCCCGGGATCTCTAAGGGCTTATGACAGTGAGTATCAGGCACAGGGCAGGCACCTGCCAAGTGCTCGGTAATCGAGTGTGGTCACATTTGCAGTTGGCTTCAAGCAGGCGGCCAGGGCCACAGCTGATTTCCCGAGACCCTGGATGAGGAGGAGGAACAAGTGAGGTTAGAGGGCTGTGACCAATGACCCTGGGCAGCCAGGCCGTCACTCAAGGCCATGGCCAGACCTTTACCACTGCCCATCCACAGCTCACCACTGTCCTCCTGGAGTCCAGGGTTCTCTTGGTCAATTCCTCCGTCCTTGTGAACTCAAGACACTCCACCTCCCCCGGACATCCTCCCCAACCATAGCAAGGCAGAACACAAAGGGAAGAAACTCCTTGGGAAGTGGAATTGGAAGACTGACGGCCAGCTGATTCAAACTGGCCCCATCCAGCACCCTGACTCACCTGCCTCCATCTCCCTGGTAAAACCATCCCCTTAAGCATTAAGCCCTCAGGACACTGAGGTTCTGGTCAGCACTAAATAATCTTGGGAACAAAGCCTCTGGTCTGTTGACCATAGAGAGAGCATTTTGGTAAAACTAGAGATAACATCTAGACCTCAGTTGTTTCAGCTCCAGGCCCAGAAAAGCAGCAAAACCAGATGAAGCAACACCATGGCTGACATCAGGACCAAATGCAATGACCAATAACCCCCCTGCCCTGGCACTGACCCATCAGTAGACCATGGCCCTTAAAAAATACACCTGGAAAGCTGATGAATATTCTAGAGATCCTCCGAGTACTCCCCTAAAAATCCTGGTTTTAGAAAACAGATAAATTGCCCTGGCCAGTTTGGCTCAGCGGTTGAGCGTCGGTCTGCGGACCAGAGTGTCCCAGGTTCGGTTCCTGTTAGGGGCACGTACCACCAAAAAAAAAAAAACAGATAAAAACTCTTAAGACAAAGGACCCAGCATGCCTGCGCCTTTTCTCCTAAGGCGTGCATCTTTGCTTTCTCTTTCCAAGGGCCCTTGTTTTGCCTCAGTAATGTTTCCTGAGACCACACAGCCCAGCTGGCTTCCTTCTTCTGCGTCTGTGACTTTCTTTCTAAAGGGCCACTTCTAGGCTCACTCCTGTTGCTATGATCTCTTCTTCTACCCTCAGTCCTTCCTTTGTTTCACTGTCCCCACTTTAATAAACATATTCTTAAAATCACCTGAACTAGTATTGTGAAATATTTCCTATACAAAGTCAAGAATTGAGAATCAAGGACCCAGAGCCGCCGTGGCCGGTTTGGCTCAGCTGTTACAGTGTCGGCCTTCGGTCCAGAGACCCGGGTTCAGTTGCCATTAAGGTCACGTGCCTCGGTTGCAGTTTGTCCCCAGCCCTGGTTGGGTCATGCGGGTGGCAGCCACTCGATGTGTCCCTTTCATGTCGATGTTTCTCTCTCTTTTCCTCTCCCTCCCGCTCTATCTGAACAAAAAATAAAAAAGTGTCCTTGGGTGAAGATTTAAAAAAAAAAAAGAACCCAGAGCCCACATGCTGCTAACATCAGCAATCCTGACCCCAGCTCCTATACCTCCAAGGAGGCTATTCTGCATACCCCACTACCAATCTGCCTGTGCTTCTGTGTGTCTCCCACAGGCCTCTGAGCTGCTCCAGGACAGAACTGCTGCCCAGCACCACCCAGCTCTGGGTCTCACCCACGGGAATGTCAAGAAATGTTTGCTGACTGACCTGCTCTCTCACTAGAGCAGGGGGCGGTGCCTGTGTGCCCAGCACAAGACGGGCATGTGCAGCAGCCTGATGGACATGACTTATCCAAGGTGGCTGTGCTCTCCACCTTAGGGCACAAAGAGGAAACAGTCTGGGAAAGAGGAAGTGACAGGTCCAAGGTCACAGGACTAGAGGATGGGAGCCTAGGAGCACCAGGCTTCAGAGCCCTTTCCAAACACTCAGCCTCCTTCTCTGGCTGTATACAGAAAGCATACCAAGGTCAACACTATTATTATCATCCCTGTTTTATCTGGACAGAAACCCAGGTTAGTTACCTAAGGTCACCAAGGTCTGAGTGATGGGGCTGGGATTCAAACCCAGGTCATCTGACCCCAGGGCATGGGCTGAGCACAGTGATAAACCCTTCTTTCGTTGCCAAGGTGGGGGTGGGGATTAGCTCTGGAAGGCTTCCAGAAGGAAAAGGATAAAGGCATGAGATAACACCAGGAGGAATCTGATCTGAGTGTTCTCAGGGGCTGAGGCCGAAGGGACTGAGGGGACCACAGCAGAGGCAGCCGGGGAAGGCCAGCCGCACTTAGCAAAGAGGCTTACAGACTTAGGGAGGAGATAAGCCAGGATCAACAGCACCTGTGCTTCCCAAGCCAGGTCAGCTCTGTTCCCAGCTGGGTACTCAGCATTACCCAACCTGGGGCCTGGCACCAGGAAACACAGGAAAACCCCAGCCAAGTCACTCCCTTCCTCAAACGCGGTCCGCCCCAGTTGGACTGGGCCGGGCAGGTTGTCCTCTCTGGACTCCCATGGCCCTTGGACCTCTCCTTTAGGGCTCTGGTTAGCACGTGGGGGCTGTGTCCTGGTCTGCATCTCTGCTCCAGACCCAGTCCTTGGTGCCCGGCACTGCGTCCACAGTCGCTGCCAGGTCTCAAGCCTGTGGGCCACGCCATCCTCAACTTGCAGAACCCCAAGGGTCGGAGGGGTACTCAACTCCATGGGCTGGGGTGTCCCCCTTTGTGGCCAAGAGTGGAGCATGGAGGCCTCGGGGTCGCCAGCGAGCCCGGCCACCGTCTTCGCCTTACAGTGCGGGCCACACGGGGCTTGACCTTGGCCCAGCCGCTTCCCCGCGGACGCACGCGCTTTCTGCACCCGCCCGCCGGGCGAATGAATGAGACTCCGCCGGCCGGAACGCCCGTAATTATCGCCCGAGTCAAAAGCCGCACGCGGCCCGCCCGGGGCAGCAACGGGCCCGGGTGCTTTGAAAAGGGGAAGGAGTGGGGGGCAGGCTTCCGGTCAGGCAGGATCGGCCCGCACGGCCCCCGCCCCCACCGGGGCCTCAACTTCCCCCAGGAGTCGCCACCACTTCCGGCCACCTCCAGCCTTGCAGGATGGGGAGGGACGCGACGACCCCAACCCGCAGCCGAGCCCCAGGGGAGAGCCCCCGGCGCTGCGCACGCGCGCTCCTCCCGGTCGCGCTCCCTCCCGACGCGCTCGCGCACGCGCACTCCCCGCCTCGCACGCGCTCGCCCGTGGCCCTCCCGGCGCGCCCCCGCCCGCCCCGCCCCGCCGGCCGCGCGCCCTCACGCCCCCCCAGCGGCGCGCACGCGCACTCACCGCCCAGTCGCGCTCGCCGTCCGCCTTCCCGCCCGCCCCCCGTCCGCAGCTCGGTTCCCGAGGCGCGCCCCCCCAGCCCTGGTCGCACGCCCTCCGTCCCCGCGCCCTCCCCTCACCTCCTCGGTCCCGGGGCCGCCGCGCCGCACTCGTCCTCCTCTCTCCTCCCTCACGGATGGTGGCAGCGGCGGCAGCGGCGACTCAGACCCTGGGGTCAGGGGGACGGGCGCCCAGGCCGGAAGTGACCTTCCTGGCCGCTTCCGCCCGCGCCGCTCCCCCTCCCCCACCCCCCTCTGGCCGCCACCCCGTCCTGGCCGCTCTAGGAAGGTGAGCCCGCGACCCCCCTGGCCGCCGCCCCCCCAGCTCGATGGTGCGGAGCGGGCGCTTTAGGAAGCCACTTCCGGGCACGTCTAGGATGCGAGTCCTCCGGCCGCGCTCTATGGCGCCGTGCGCCCAGGGGCTGCGGCCCCGCCCCCTCCCAGGACCGGAGGCGCGGGCTCGGCCCGTTAGGCGGAGACTTCCGGTGTCTAGGGAGGTGCCCCCCCTTCCCCCCCAACCCGGGAGCCGAGTTCTCGCGCCTGCGCAGTCCTCTCCTCGCGCCGGCCACGAGCGGGTGTTGCGCGGAGAGTGGCCAGGGCCGCTCGTTCCGCCCCGGTCCTCCAGTCGTCTCTATCATCGTAACTCCTTCCCTGCCGATGCTCCTCTCAGTGCCCGGCGCTCGCGTTCTGCAGAGGACTGTCCTCTGCGACCCTGGGACTTTCGATACTAGACAGAGCGTGCTGCGCTCAGGCGCCGCCCGTATCCACGTCTGCCTCCCAGCCTCAATTTCCCCCTTCTGGAGTAATAACAGTGAGCGCGTCCAAGGACTTTGCATGCATAAATTCCTATTAATAACCTGTTCCCACTTTGCAGATAAGGAAGCACAGAGAGGTCAAGACCTTCGCACAATGTCACAGGCGGAGAATGCAGGGCCCGGGCTCGGACCCCGGAATCTGCCCGCCAGTTGTCACATTTAACCGTAGCCAATCCTACTGCCTCCTGGAATAACAGAATATTGGTCACAGCCGCTAGGATTCATTCACCTGCTTGCCTCATGCAAGGTGGGCGCTTGGTGAGCACTAGCTGCATGTTAGCTGAGCTTATTAGCATTCTTCTATAAAACATATTTTTTAAATTATTGTTTGCACCCAAGTGTCCTTGCAGGTTGGCCCCTGTAGTCCCTTCCCTGTTGTGTATTTGGCCAGCCGAAATGTTTGATGATCTGTTATTATTTATAACCATTTTATTGTCGTCATCACAATCAACCAAGTTTGGGAATCGGAAAGAGGGGATGTACAATTCACTGGATAACGCCTTTCACGGTCTCAATTTAGTGAGATAATCTGTGTGAATTTGCTTAATTCCATTCTCAGCACATAGTAAGCTCTCACTGAAAATGATATTGATTAGTATTGCTCATTGAGAGTATTGCTTCTACTCTCGGTACCGCTACATACCCTAAATTCTCAGTCGACAGCCATGGTAAAATGTGTATTGTTGAGTTAATAACATCTTCCAGGAGAGGTGAAAACAAACAGGACTGTATTAAAGGTGAATGGAAATAGCAAGATATGTGCCCTGGCCGGTTTGGCTCAGCTGTTCAGTTCCCGCTAGGGGCACGTACCGAAAAAAAAGGAAGAAATAACAAGATCCATCTGTCTCACCTTCAGAAAGATCACAAAGGTAAGTGTCTGGATGCATCTTAGAACAGAGGGACAGTGCTGTGACAATAAGTCACCACGGATTATCATCATGGGTCTGAACTTTGCACCGTGAAACGTGTATGAGAAACACCACACACCACCCGCATGGACTGGACAAGGTGCCCGAAGTAGCCTGGTGGTGAGGGTCCAGCTTTGTCCCTCTCCTTCTCTGCCCCGTCCTGGCTGGCCAAATTGAGAACCTCCAGGTGAGATTTTAGATCACCAGAAGAAGGGAGTGGATTGACAAGCGACAAGGAGCAAGACACCCTTGGTGGCTGCTGTGCCCGCTGAGATATCACAGGAGAATGACTTTCTGGTTTAAATCATGGGTCGTTCAGAGTCTCTCCTCAGGTTGCTGTAGAGACGGCTAATTTGCCACCCAAACCTGCCCTTCCATCCCAAAGGATGGAATTACTCCCAGAGCCCTGCTCCCACCCAGGGACGCCTTGACCATCTGAGTGTGGCCTTGTAATCGCTTCTCACTGGCTATGAACCAGAAAGGTATACCTTGATCTTGAACTTCCAGCCCCAAGAACTGTGAGCATTAAATCTCTCTTGTTTATAATCCACCCAGTCGGTGGTATTTTGCTACATCAGCCCCAAAGGACTAAGACATGGGTGTCTTTGTTCCGGAAGCTTCTTCCGTGTGAACCCATACAGGGTTTTCAGATGCTAGACAGTAAAAACAATGGCAAGTCTCTCCTTTGGAGACTCATCAGCTTCTAGACAGATTTGAAAGCCACAGGACGAAGATCACGGGGAAGAGAGAATGAAATACAAGTGTGGAGAGGGAAGCAGTTCCATCTGTGGCCTCCCCTGGGATTTTTCTCTCTGGAATTGAAAAAACAGAGTCTACCTCTCTGGGATATGAGACTCAAGAGCAATGGCAGCCTGTTTGTCACCATGTGGAGAAAGGGAGCCTGCCGGAGGAGAAAAGAAAGCTATACAGAGAGAGGAGTGGAGAGAGAAGAATGCCCGACTAAGTTCCAATGCATCCAACACCCTAACCCCTTCCCTCCCCCCGAAGTTTAATTGCCCAGCTCATCTCTTAAGTAAGACTCTCCAGGCTCCTTCCAAGAAATCCCCATTTAGGCCTGAGCAAATTCCAGTCAGATTTTGGTCACTTGTAACCAGAAGATCCCCAATCTCCCACAGCACTGTGTGCAGCAAAAGCCCCTCTCCGTGTTGAGATGAGGGGATGAAGACAGGTTGGGTGAGGTGATACGTAAGCCTCCATTGTGCCTGCATTCACCGAAGTCCTGGCTGCAGGGCCCTGGAACAGCTCCCACTCTGGAGCCCTTCTAACCGTAGGTTTCTTGTTTGACATCTGCTCTGCTGAGTGATGGGAACAGCAGCGGGCAGATTGGAGATGGAAAGTTTACAGCTGTTGGGATACAATTGCCTAGAAGTCCCTGCACACGCACAAAATCACACTCTCACATTAAGTCTGAGGCGTGCCGGTGCCAGATAAGCTTCAGACACATGATAAGTAATTTCTTTAGTACGAAATCGTCCCCGGCTTGTCCAAAATAAGTGTTAGTCATTGGTTTGAAACACAGGTGGAAATGTGCATTTGTATGTGCTCAATCTGGCCGCTCTGGGTAGCAGACACTGTGGGTGCTTCTGGAACCCCTTCCACCTTCTTTTCTTCACCAATTTCCCCAGATTTCCATGCCTCCTCCATGCATGGGAGAGAGGGGGACAGCTCCACCCCTGGATTTTTAAAAGTGTGAGCAACATAAGTGTTAGGGCCAAGCTAGTAAAAGTAAAATCCTAGCCCAGAACCCCTATCTAGATCCCGATTCATGCCCATGTGACAGAAGTGTTTTGAGTGGGGTTCTGGCAAATAAGCTCCCCTTGACCCTCTCTATGGATGGTGGGATATGGGATGTGATGGTTAGAACAGTGGCAGCCATTTTGCCACCATGAGGAATACCAGCCTGAGGACAGATCCACACCACAGGCCCTTCATGACATTTCTGAGCAACTGAATCAAAATGACGCTGGAGCTGTCCCTTGCTTGGGGCTTTCCTGCTGGCCAATAAATCCTCCCTGTGTTTGAGCAAGTTGGAAATGAGTTTCCCAGGATAGAGTATATCCCAGGTAATACAGGTAGGAACTACTGTGCATTTCATTTCATGTCGGAGGAAACTGGTGATGGAAGAGGGGAACTTACATGCTCAAAGCCACATGGTTGCCTCATTAATTCTGCATTTGTCTGGCATCAAAGTCTGTGCTGATAGCCATTTCCCTGGTCATGAAATTTGGGGAAGCTCGCTCTAATGGGGACACCCAAGACTTTCACATGTTCAAAGCATCTTCAAACTCACAGTGTTGCTTGAAGAAAGCAGGGGAGCCTGCCAAGGGGAGACTCTTGTCTGAGTTTCACACAAAATATTTGAGACCCAAAGAGGCTGAGTAATATGCTCATGGCCACACAGCAAGTGGTGGAGCTGGGATTTGAACTCAGCTTGCTGAGCCCCACCCCAACTCCAGAGCCACTGCTCCGGGGGTATGTGCTGTCCTCCCTGTCTTTGGTCTCTCTGAATATTGGCCTCAGAAAGAGCTTCCTAACTCCCCATGATGGGTGTCCCTCTCCCATGCAAAACACTGTCAAGGAGGAAGTCAGAGATCCTCATGCTAGCCTCCGAGACCCTTCATCCGGGCCATTCCTGTCTCAGAGTCCCTCACTCAAACCCCCGAGGTAATAGAAGGCTGTGGCCATGGGGAGCGACTGGAAAGTTCTTTCCATGTGCTCCATCTCTCCATGTCCAGGTATTCCCTCCACCTGCACCGTTACCGATGAGTTTGGGTTCTTATCTCCCGATATGAAAGAACTTAGGCCAGGAACACTGGTAATAGCGGAGCTTAAGACCACCCGTTGGCTCACTAGATTGTCAATTTGTTACAAAAGGATCTTAAAGGATATGAGCCAAAGGCTGATGGAGGGAGACCCAGGGTAAGGTCCCGATCAAAGTGGCTTGAGCCTAGCTCAGTGGCAGCAGGAAACACTCAGTCCCCCAAATGTGGAAGCTCTCCGAAAACAGGGACCAAGGAGCTGTCCTGGGGTTTACGGAGGTTTCATTCTATGGTCATGACTGACTCAGTCATTGACCACAGGCGACTGACTTGACCTCCAGCCACACTCTCCTCCTGGAAGTCAAGGTCAGAAAAGGTAGGACGCCAGCCCCTTCCAGTTCCTTCCTGCATCCCATAATAAGTATTGCACAATCCCAGATGCCTTCACTGTGCCCGTACCAGCCACCAAAAGTCACCTCATTCATATAACAAAAGACACCGTTGTCACTCTCCATGCTTAGGAAATGCCTGGGGGGGGAGGGGGGGGTTGGGAGCCATGAGCCAGGAACCATGGACGAGGCCCAGCTGTCTCATAAGTAGTAACGACAATATCCACCGAAATGCCGCCAGCTGGACGCTGCTGCCCTCTTGGGTTCCATGATCTCATTTCATCCTCGCGGGCACGCTGTGAAGCAGGTGCTAGA